AATAAACACTGAAACTCTGTCTGCTGAATGGAGAGAGTATCTCTTCTCTTCTCTTCGCCTTTCTCACATCTTCCCCTTATCTCTTAATTCCAGTCAGAGGCAATCAGACAAGCTGTTTGCAGTAGAGACAAAGGTGGAAGAAATGGCATTGAACAAAATTGGATCTACAGACTACCCTTTTTCAGCATGGATAAGACTGGTGGCTTGGTGATAGCGGAATCACAAGTCCTAATATACAGCTCTTCGGTTGGTAGGGTGGCTGAGCATAAATCTGTGGTGAGACTGACATCTGCTGGTGAACACTGATACTGCAATTTGGTGTTAAGAGTTACACCATACTATAAATAATAATAATAATAATAATAATAATATGCCATTTAGCAGACGCTTTTATCCAAAGCGACTTACAGTCATGCGTGCATACATTTTTACGTATGGGTGGCCCCGGGGATCGAACCCACTACCATGGCGTTACAAGCGCCGTGCTCTACCAGCTGAGCTACAGAGGACCACATATAACACGGATGGGCAACTTTGATGGGGGTGGGGGCCACAAAAAAACTGAACTCGTCATTAGGGGCCACACTGTCTCGCGGCTCTACGTGCCAACATCCATACCCACACAGAGCCGGCCCTAGCCTTTTGGGGGTCCTAAGTGACATTTTTTTTGGAAAAAGCTGCAGATGCACAACAAGTCTACTATTCTAACTTTAAACAGTAAGTTAAGCCCCCTACTGAGTTCCTAACGCAGTTGATCCGTGGTCCTACAAAAGGGCTGCATTTTGTCAACAGCTCCACCACTTCTTTATAGCAATGTACATTTGAAGTCGGAAGTTTACATACACTTAGGTTGGAGTCATTAAACTCGTTTTTCAACCACTCCACAAATGTCTTGTTAACAAACTCTAGTTTTGGCAAGTCGGTTAGGACATCTACTTTGTGCACGACACAAGTAATTTTTTCCAACAATTGTTTACAGACAGAGTATTTCACTTGTAATTCACTGTATCACAATTCCAGTGGGTCAGAAGTTTACATACACTAAGTTGACTGTGCCTTTAAACAGCTTGGAAAATTCCAGAAAATGATGTCATGGCTTTAGAAGCTTCTGATAGGCTAATTGACATCATTTGAGTCAGTTGGAGGTGTACCTGTGGATGTATTTCAAGGCCTACCTTCAAACTCAGTGCCTCTTTGCTTGACATCATGGGAAAATCAAAAGAAATCAGCCAAGACCTCAGAAAAAAATCTGTAGACCTCCACAAGTCTGGTTCATCCTTGGGAGCAATTTGCAAACGCCTGAAGGTACCACGTTCATCTGTACAAACAATAGTACGCAAGTATAAACACCATGGGACCACGCAGCCATCATACCGCTCAGGAAGGAGACGTGTTCTGTCTCCTAGAGATGAACGTACTTTGGTGCAAAGGTATGGCCCTGTGTAGCTCAGTCGGTAGAGCATGGGGCTTGCAACGCCAGGGTTGTGGGTTCGATTCCCACGGGGGCTCCAAAACCGCCATAAAAAAGCCAGACTACGATTTGCAACTGTACATGGGGACAAAGGTCGTACTTTTTGGAGAAATGTCCTCTGGTCTGATGAAACAAAAATAGAACTGTTTGGCCATAATGACCATCGTTCAGTTTGGAGGAAAACGGGGGTTGCATGCAAGCCGAAGAACACCATCCCAACCGTGAAGCACGGGGGTGGCAGCATCATGCTGTGGGGGTGCTTTGCTGCAGGAGGGACTGGTGCACTTCACAAAATAGATGGCATCATGAGGAAGGAAAATTATGTGGATATATTGAAGCAACATCAAGACATCAGTCAGGAAGTTAAAGCTTGGTCGCAAATGGGTCTTCCAAATGGACAATGACCCCAAGCATACTTCCAAAGTTGTGGCAAAATGGCTTAAGGACAACAAAGTCAAGGTATTGGAGTGGCCATCACAAAGCCCTGACCTCAATCTTATAGAAGATTTGTGGGCAGAACTGAAAAAGCGTGTGCGAGCAAGGAGGCCTACAAACCTGACTCCGTTACACCAGCTCTGTCAGGAGGAATGGGCCAAAATTCACCCAACTTATTGTGGGAAGCTTGTGGAAGGCTACCCGAAACGTTTGACCCAAGTTAAACAATATAAAGGCAATGCTACCAAATACTAATTGAGTGTATGTAAACTTCTGACCCACTGGGAATGTGATGAAATAAATAAAATATTAAATCAATCATTCTCTCAACTATTATTCTGACATTTCACATTCTTAAAATAAAGTGGTGATCCTAACTGACCTAAAACAGGGAATTTTTACTAGGATTAAATGTCAGGAATTGTGAAAAACTGAGTTTAAATGTATTTGGCTAAGGTGTATGTAAACTTCTGACTTCAACTGTATATATTTTTATTATTAAAAAGTTGAAAGACATAATTTAAGATGAATAACTTATTCATAACTTGTATAAAAATAATACAATAGTATCTTACATGAGAATAACATAATAATTCATATAAATATTTTGCCTAGATAACAAAACTTTGAAAATAATTCCAAAAAGAATCAAGACACATTCTTACACACATTCAACATTCGTCTTCTGCTCACAAACACTGAAAACCCGTAAGTCCTTAAAGCTGGAATCCGTAGCGGTGAAACTGCCACGTCCGTTTGCCATATTACAACAACTTCAAATAAAGAACACTGTGTGTTTTACCTCTGACGTCATTGCACGCACGATAGAACAGCAGAGTATGTATGCTCCTCTGCCCCGTTTAAAAAACAATAACAAATGCGCCTGGGGCGGCCAGTGGCGCCGTTTCACCTTATGCGAATCTCAGCTTTATAAAACCAGTTTAGACTGGCAGTAATAGGACCTACTGGGAGATGCTGGTATAGGAACTGGAGTAAGATCTACTACTGACAGACACATTCACTTCCAATATTCATCAATCAGTTGAATACAGTCAATCCCTGATAAGTGATCACTGGATAAGTGTACACTTTTCTAAAGTGCATGTCGCTAGTCCTAATACAACACAATACAAATAATTGTATATGTTGCCTTGGATAATTGCATGCCCTGGTTTAGTGCACACATTGAGGACAGTCATTGCATTTCAAGTATTCATTGGTTTTCTGTGGAACTCAGTCATTTTAACATACAATTTTAGGTCACTCAGTAAGCTCTATAAAATCCCCATTGAAGGTCAGTTACCATCATGATGTAAGATAATAGAACATAGTTCCACACGCTCCGAAGTTCAGGAATGTTGGTCACCTCAGTAGATCTACTTTACATTCATTAGAGGCAGACCAGAGTGTCAAGGAAAAAGGAACCATCGAGAGATGTTCAGAATGTCAAGGTGGAGTTGGGTTCAGGTAGCGTACATTGGGAAGAGAGAGGAGAGAAGGAGGAGAGGAAGAGAAGAGAGAGAGAGAGAGAGAGAGAAGAGAGGAGAGGGAAGAGAGAGGAGGGAGAGAGGAGGAGAGGAGAGAGAGAGAGAGGGAGAGGAGAGAGAGAGAAGAAGAGAGGAGAGGAGAGAGAGAGAGAGGAAGAGGAGAGGAAGGAGGGAGAGAGAGAGAGAGAGGAGAGGAGGAGAGAGAAAGAGGAGAGGAAGAGGAGAGGAGAGTGAAGAGGAGAGGAGGAGGAGGAGAGAGGAGAGAGAGAGAGAGAGAGAGAGGAGAGGAGAGAGAGGAGAGGAGAGGAGAGGAGAGAGGAAGAGAGGAGAGGAAGAGAGAGGAGAGGAATGAAAGAGGAGAGGAAGAGAGAGAGGAGAGGAAGAACGAGAGGAAGGAATGAAACAAAACTTTAACAAAACAAAAATGTTTAACTGCTTTGCCAGGTCATTTGCACAGGTTATCTAAACCAATGTCAAGCTTTTGATCTTATCCCACTGGGCACAGACTTCAGTTCAACGTCTAGTTCTGATTTACATTTGGTCGAGTTGTCAACTAATGTGAATTCAACGTGAAATCAACGTGAAATCAAAAAAAAAAATCATTGGATTTAGGTTCAAAGTTGGATGAATAAAAGACGAAATGCCCTTACATTGATTACTTTTTGCAAATCCAATTAGTTTTCCATGTTGATTCAACATCATCACATAGATTTCTTGGGTTGAAATGACGTGGAAACAATGTTGATTGAACCTGTTTTTGCCCAGTGGGATGTATTTATCCTGTGAGTTTGAGTGAAACAGTGGAACAGTGAAACAGATACTCACTCGTCTGAACAGTGAAACAGTGAAACAGATACTCACTCTGAATTTGCTGCAACCTTCCCTCCTGGAGAAACAGAAAGATATAGACGGGTTGGTTATTTAGCAACAAAACTGACGCGTGCGCAACTATGGGGCAAAACAGACGGGGTTGGCTTAGACTGTTGACAACATGTAAATTATATTTAGTCTCTAAATGTTTATTGAAAAATAAATAAATTTGCAACAATGAGCACTTGTCTCTCAATACATAGTTACTGTTGTTGGTTAGCTATCTCAAAACAAGACATGGTATCTATAATAATATACAACGAGCTGAAACAAGCCACCTACGATTCCCCACATGGCAGCTTCTTGTCATTGTTGCTAGCCATCAGACCTTTCAGAATCATAACAACACACACCACATCGATGTGCATAACGTTGTCCGCCAACCCATCTATATGTTTTATGTATTTATAGATATTTATATTTTATCCTGCCGGTCCCATTTCCAAGAGACAATACTGTCTGTCTCCACTATCGCAAGTAATGTCATCCTTACCTTGATTACCTCTGGCTGGCTTAGCCTTCCTTTTCTTGCGGATAAATACCAGAACCAGGAAACACAGCAGAACAGCAGAGACAGCAGAGATCACACAGACAACAAGGATATCAGGAGAGCCTGCCTGTGGCATGCCTATAGTAGATAAATACAATACAACACAACAGGTAAGGTTTCAAATTAATTTGCTTGACAGAAATGTATAATGTTATACATTTAATGACAGTGATAGAGACAGTGTGTCTCAGTCCTCACAGACGGTGTGTTCCTGTGAGAGGGCGCCCCCTACAGCACAGCTGAGGTTCAGCCAGGGTCCGGAGGAGCAGCTGACGGATATGGAGCTGAAGACCGAGAACAGCGTAGAGACCGGGTCTCTCCTATCACTGCTGTTCACTGCTCTCCAGTGGCTCTGGTTCAGAGGAGGGTTCGGGCTCCACTCAACGTCCCTACGAGGGTAACCGTTGTCGGAGGAACACGTCACCAAGCAACTGCTGCTGTCACAAGCCACTGTTACATTGGGGATGCTGTAGTTGGCTGTAGAGGGGGAGAGATGGAAAGGATTTTATATTTTCTTAGTTTTACTTCCTCTAAGTAACTGAAAACAAAACAACACAAGCCGGTCTACAGCTTTCTTTTTGTCTTCTTTTTAGTGAATGTATCTATGGTTTGGGCTATTACAAGCACACATCAGACAGCACAGACATTGTGTTTTCCTTCATCCAGAAAGCCATGTTCCACATGTAAGAGAGTTTGAACTGAGGTAATCTTACCTGTCACATTGAGCTGTATGATCTCCCGGTTGTCCTTGGTTGGGTATCGGATGTGGCATTCGTACAGCCCCTCATCTGACGGCCATATACTCCACAGCTTCATTGTTCCCTGTGTGGGGTCTACATGCGTACGGTTTGCATACTTTGGGTCAGGGGATGGTAAGACCTTTGTCTGATGGTAGCCGTTAATGAACTCCACTGGGTCAGGTCTCTGTACATACAGGTAGATTGGGGAGAGGTCAGACGTACAGGGGAGGGTCACAGCCCCACCCACCTCTCCTATCACCATGGTGACATCTGAGAGAGAGGGCGAAAGGGGTTAGAGGTTAGGGAAGGGTTATGCCAGAGAGTTAGGGGGGTGAGGGTAGACATTAGGCAGTTCCTTTTTTGGCTTCTGTGTTTCTTTTTCCCTCAATCTATCTGACACATCTACACTTTTCTCTCATCTGAAAGTGTCTGGTACTTTCCCTTCTACTGAATAGATAACATCATGGTTCAGATAGTCTTATTGCAAATCAAACTTTACAGAGAAAACATACACAGATACACACATGCAGGCACGCACACACACACACACACACACACACACACACACACACACACTCAGCCAAGCATCTCCAACAGTAAAGATCTGATCTGATAAAGTGGCAGGTATCATAATGTCATATTTTTGTCACTTGACTCTCCTCTTACCTCTACTTTGAATAAACTGAACCGATGCCAGGAAGAAGAAGACACACTTTCTGGAAACCAAAATAACAGTACAATCAGCTGAGTACTGTTAGGTGAGGTCACTGGTAGCGTTCTTATTTCCTAATAACCTATTTCCAGAAACACACCCATAAATGTTATTAATATTATCCTTTAATTACAGGCACACATTCCTCCAGCTTTCAGGAATGTACTGTATACCAAGGAAACACCCAGAAAACAGAAAGTAATTCCATTGGAGACCCACAGCGGCATTCTCTCTATCAGATACTGTCACCACACACACTACTGTAAACAAGGTGTGAAGAATTCTGACTCTAGATAGCGGGAAATTAACTCTACAAATTAAATATTATTCTTATTAAAAACGTATAATTGTATCAAAATTAGACCAATACAGTTGTATGTAAATCAAGTAGGCTAACGGTTGCAAATAACCAAGATTTAAAGATAGAAATATACCTCAGACACAATCCCGCCATGATCATAGTCACACAGAGTGATAAGTGAGCACTATTTACCGAAGCAGCCAACGCACACACATCCCATAGTCCTGTAGAAAACACAGACACATTAGTTCAAACAGCAGTACTTACAACCAATGATCAGGTTTCATATGATCAGATTCATATCATGGTAAATAAACACTCATAAAGGACACGAGAGTTTGCTTATTAATCCTCAGATAATATGGTGAGATTAAAAAAAGTAATTAAGAAAAATCTTCATTTTATATTTATTATAATAACCAAGTTAAGGAAATAAATTGAGCATTTAGGTTACTCTTCCTAATAGTCAGTCAAGAAAACCCTAAGGGAAATCCCAGGACAAGGGAATTACTTCAGGAAATTCTTTGTACTCTTTGGGCAGTAGGTTATAAGCACATACAGCTACTGTGTGCAGGGCCCAGTTTTTCAAAGGTTATCTATTCAGATTTCAGCTATAGGATAGGATTAAATGCATAGAAATAGAATGCGTAGAATGGGAGTCCCCATTGAAGTCAATGATTTGTCCATTCTATTCGTTCTATTTCTATGCATATAATCCTACCCGATAGGCGAAATCCAGATAGATAACTTTTGCCTAGTGAGATATTTGTGGTCATGGTTCTTTATTGATCTCAGCGATTGGTGGTTAAGGATAGGGAGTTCATGGTTCAGAGTTGTGGGTTTGGTTGATTTAGCGTCAATCTGAAGAGAATCAAACAACAATTCCGTTCCTCAATCGTGTGTCTTTTACACATTGTCTTGCAAGGACTTTATTATGAATTAACTACTTGAGAGTAAAGACATCAAACGATTGCCTCAGTAGAATGTCACAGGCCAGAGGATTGTGCCGGGGCAGACAGAGGGAACTGGCTTGGTTGTCAGATACGTTTCTAATTAATAAGCCAAGGGGAATCCCCAGAATTAGAGAGCCCCATTGTTATGGTATCAGCTGGTAGGATGAGTTTCATTAACACAGGTTACAGTATCAACAGTACAGAAGAACTGTATATAGTTGCTGTATATCAAATATATTGCTAGAACACACACACACACACACACATGAAAACAATCATACATAAACACAACATAAGCATGCACGTGCATGCATTCATGGTCCACTGAGCATGAAGCAAACAGTAGTTTGACACTCTTAGTCTGACACAGACGGTTTTGTAATGTTGCAGCACGAGTGAGTCAGAAAGGCGTGGTACTAGAACTATGGAGAGTGACAAGTTAAAAGTTCATGTTTAGTGTGTTACTCACGTCGCAGTCAATAGAAACTGTAATCCATGGATTTATTTTTGAAATGTCGTAGTTTTATCAAAACACAAAAGATGAAAACTTCAGAGTAATCTGACCATATCTAGGTGAAAGTATCGGTGAAATCCACTGTGTGTAAATGTTTCACTTATCCAAGTGATTGACAATGTTTGCAAATAAGCAATTGCAAAAATATATAATGCACTGTCCATGCAACAAGATTTAGATATTAAACCACTTTGACAGAGATGATGATGATAAACGTTTATTTTAAATATATAATATGACACTATGGCAGCGTTTACACAGGCAGCCCAATTTTGCCAATAATTAATCTTTTGACCAATCAGATCAGATCTTTTGCCAATAATCGGGCAAAATATCAGAATTGGCTGCCTGTGTAAATGCAGCCAATGACCAGTCAGTTTCTATGGCTCCATTATCTGTTTGCTACATCTCTCCAGATATTACAGTCAACCCCAAGAGTAGGAGTCACATCTCTACATCTATTGTTTTGGTTAGTAACCTGAAACACCAACAACCTCCATTCATTCAATGATATAGGGGCTCCCGAGTGGCGCAGCGGTCTAAGGCACTGCATCTCAGTGCAAGAGGCGTCGCTATCATATATATTAAATGTTTTTAACATTTATTTAACTAGGCAAGTCAGTTAAGAACAAATTCTTATTTATAGACCCTGGTTCGATTCCAGGCTGTATCACAATCCGGCCGTGATTGGGAGTCCCATAGGGCAGCGCACAATTGGACCAGCATCAGCCGGGTTTGTAAATAAGAAATTGTTCTTAACTGACTTGCCTAGTTAAATAAAAGTAAAAAAAAAATAAAAAAAATGATATAGTAGGTCAAACTGAATACCCTTCTATTGCATTGTTTAATTAAACTGCTTCACCTTAACCAGCACTGTATTCTCTAAGTAAAGCTACATCAACACTGGTACATCCACTACCAGCCAGTCTGGAAGAGCTGTAGATATTTATAACAGTTATAAAGCCTATGATGGTGAAATAAAGGCATTCTTACCGCAGTCATGCTTTGCCTTTCTTAACAGCCGTAATCGAGTGTGAAGTCGGAGAGGTTGGTGTGTTCTCAGCACTGGCAATCAGTCCCTCTTCCCTAAGCATGCTGGGGGTGTGGCTTTAGTCAGGGGAAGTCCTTTTGCTTTTCTAGTTGACTAATGTTACCATTGTAGCATACCGTAGGTTATCAGGATTTGGTCTCTTCTCACAGCAGTGTGTGTTCATAGTTGTGTGTGTGCTGAGGGGGTGGGGGTCAGTTAATGTCACAGACATTTGAGACTCTCACTTCCCTATATATGCCACCTAAAATCTACAGTACTCTGCACACAGTAGTTCAAACTGCAATGTTTATCAAGAACACAACAACATTAGTGAGAAATGGAACACTGTATCCATGGTGTCCCTGATGAAGGGCGAATCAGAATGGAGAATGTTGTTTGGACCAGTGGTGTTGCACGGAGAGAATTTCCTCCCCTCCATTCAGGCTACAGATATCAGATGATCCGATCAGATCAGACCATGCTGACACAGGCTAACCTCAGACACCGCCTGGTATAGAGGTCCTGGATGGCAGGAAGCTTTGCCCCAGTGATGTACTGGGCCGTATGCACTACCCTCTGTAGTGCCTTGCGGTCGGAGGCCAAGCAGTTGCCATACCAGGCGGTGATGCAACCAGTCAGGATGCTTTCGATGGTGCAGCTGTAGAATTTTTTGAGGATCTGAGGACCCATGCCAAATCTTTTAGTCTCCTGAGGGGGAATAGGCTTTGTCGTGCCCTCTTCACGACTGTCTTGGTGTGTTTGGACCATGATAGTTCGTTGGTGATGTGGACACCAAGGAACTTGAAGCTCTCAACCTGTTCCACTACAGCCCCGTCGATGAGAATGGGGGCGTTTTCAGTCCTCTTTTTTTTCCTGTAGTCCACAATCATCTCTTTGTCTTGGTCACGTTGAGGAGAGGTTTTGCCTGCACCACACGGCAGATCTCTGACCTCCTCCCTATAGGCTGTCTCATCGTTGCGGTGACAGCACCCGGCAACTAGATTTCTTAAAACGATAAAAGGAGGGGCTTCCGGGAAAGGGTGGCCATCTATTTGTATTTAAAGGTTTTACCTTAATTTCCCCATAAAATTAAAAGGAGAAACTGCTCTACTGCTGACCTCTCTATGAACATAATATTATAAGAACTTTCTCTGCAGAAGGAAGACCATACTTTCTTCCTAGTTCCCTCTTTAAGACCTAATAAAACGTGGAATCTTAGTTCTGATTTGACAGTTTATGAAAGGGATTTGATATTCAATACAAATGTTGTGAAATGTTCCACGAGCAGGACCATCCACATAACACGAGGCTGTGCTGAACCTCTACAAGGACTTACTATTACAACTGTGTCTGCCATTTTAATCTTGATGTGTTCTTCCACCATAAAGACTGATTCAAAAATTCAGAACACTATTCTGATGTGAACCTGCTGGAATGTTGCACTACTATAAATTACACTACTACATTATACAATCCAGTGAGTGAATTGAAACCCCAAGCTAAATTATGAAAAAGCAATGCACCCTGGGACATGTTCCATTTGTTCTAGCTTCTCCAATAACCTTCATGATGCCACCCATGTGATTTTTCTCTGGTCTATAATATCACACAGTCAGGGGCTGTTCTCCTTTGTGAACCTTCAGAGTCTGAATCCTGCCATTTGAGGCTGTCACGGGGAAACACCAAAGCATCCTCCTAGCCTACATGCATTCATTTCTCAGTTACATCATGCCGGCACACATCAGATAGGCACTTTATAGCATTGACTTGCAAGCAGTGGCTTGTTGCCGTGTCAGTGATGAAGGACTGGAGATGATGAATGGAGGTTGTTTTTATTTAATTCCATGATGGTGATTTTATTTATTGCTGTTGAACTTTCTGAAATTGGACTTGATGCAAATTCCGTGTAGACACCAGATCTACACTAGTGTTGCTTACCGAGAGTTTTTCCTTCCACTTTGACATTATAGAGTATTTTGTGTCAATTGTTGACAAAAAAATGACAATTAAATCAATTTTAACCCCCCTTTGTAACACAACTAAATGTGGAAAAGTCAAGGGGCGTGAATACTTTCTGAAGGTACGGTTCATCAATCACTCCAGTACACCTGCACATTGTATTAATGGCACTGACCTGTATATCCTGTATACAGTACCTGCATTCTGTTTTTATTTCATTTTTTGCATGTCTAGCTTAGGTTGCCAGACTTTTATTTAGCCCAGGCAAGGAAGGGTGTGACATGCTTACAGTATGATTCACTTTGACACTAGCTGCTTTTTCCTCTAGGGAATCCATTACTGTTATTCTGCATCGTCGGAAAGAGCTCTCAAATTTCACTATACTGTTTTAGACCTGCTGTATGTATCCGGTGCTCGTGACAACACTAAAGTTTAAATCCTTCTCTCTGCGAGTAGGCCTACCACGGATAGCTTCTACGGCACTTTTTTTTAACGTAGCCAACCAGTGAGCACTGCAGTTGCGAAAGCTAGCTACGTAGCTGCCGTAGTTTCAATGGTAACTACGCCAGCTTCACTCTTGCTGCAGAAACAAGACATCAACTGCAGATTATGCAGAAGCACCCTCTCGGACTCGGCTAAAATATAATCAGTGGCGGCTCCTGAAAAAATTCTCAGGGGGGGCAATTTTTCTGATGATTTAGGTGACCTACACACATTTAAAAAAAGATATGTCCAGCAACAACATGAAGACAGGGGCAGCATATAAGTCAATACCAGAAGCATTTATTGACTGATCTCAAAAGTGTTGGCTTACCAGGGTTGGTGGAGCCCTCAGTTTCATCTTTGCCTCGCAAAGCTAACTCAAACACTCCGCAAAACTTCACACACTGGATTAGCCGGCTGAGGATGTGGCGGTTCTTGCTAATGTCGTAGTAAATATATTTGTTATAGTGAATATGGAATATGATATGTTGAGTAAAATGTTGTGCTAAGATCTATTTAGGTCAGGAGCTGGTTATAAGTTCTGTTCCTATCCAATAACAATGGACAAAAGGGTCCTATCTTGTCAGCCTTGTCAGCAGGTGGCCAAGGACAACACCCACGCCATAGGCCTCTCAGTTCTTCCAACTCACGAGTTCTTGCTCTGAGGACACACACACACACACACACAAACACACACACACACACATCATCACTGTTAAACACACACACACACACACACACACACACACATCATCACTGTTAAACACACACACACACACACACACACAAAAATCCCCTCTCTTAGGCTGAACATTTGAAGACAGAGAACCCGACTCAGAGCCAATGCAACAGTGACACTAGCCTGGAGGGGACCTCGCCCAACTCATCAGGACCAATCAGAAGATCAGAACTACTAGATTCAACCTACTTCATTTATTGCATAAAATGTCTGCACACAATGTTTCGGGGCTCTCTTCAGATAACGAACGGGTCCGTGCACGCGATTCCAGATATCTTTACCTCTGAATAAACTGCCTTTATTATACCATATCCACCCTGTCCAAAGTCTCTACTTGGTCTCAGTTCTCCAGTAAACTTGTGATTATCAACACTAACCTCATCGTTGTGGCGGCGGACAGCTAGCCTGTATCCCTCATCCAGTTGAGTGGCAATGTTCACTCTCCCCAAAGCAGATAATCTCAAACAGCTATCCATGTGGGTCTTTGACAGCTCATGTTTCTTAATCTTTCCTGAAAGATGGTGCATGTCCGTTACACACCAGTCGCTGTCCAAGCGGTGCTGTCTGCCGTGCCGCCTTCAGGGTGAAAGAGTAAGCAGGGGGTAGCAGAAGACTGCATTAGCTACATCGCAGCCTGCTAGCCAGGTTTTTCGTTCGTACCAATTTTTTGAAAATCCTCGGGTGTAGGACTTTCCGCCTTTAGTAGAAACCTGTTGAATTATTAAATTTGGTCTGGGAGGTCCTAATTGTTTCGTTGCCAATTTATCTTGATTTGTTCGCCGACAAAAAGTAACTTATTTCAAAGAGACAATCGAGTTGCACTGAACGCTATAGCCATCTTACCAGTAGTACGTGAATTGATTGACGCTGCTACCCGCTCTTTTCTTAGTTACGTTCATGGTTATGTTACGTATGACGAAAGCGCGTAAGTGCAAGCCCTCAGAAACCCATAGAGATTGTATTGAAAGCTCTGATATTTGAAAAACATAGATTTTACATGGGAGTCTATGAGAGACTTCTGGGCGATTTTCAACCTGACTGAAATCGCCCCAAAAGGGGGGGGGGGGGGGGGGGCATTTGAAGCACGACTTTAGCCTGATTGGACATTTAGTGGCAGATCAGACGTCTAGATTAGAACACTGATAACTACTGTTGCCGTGATATAATTGATTAGAAAAAAAATCCCTTCCTTTTCCCGTTTGGCAGTGCGTCGCCCATATCGCCCTAATGAACACACCGCCCCTGAATATAATATAATATATTTATAATTTAGTGCTTTGATGTCCACATTCGGTTTTACAGTCTAAGCCTCCTCTTTAACCAGTAAGTACGTTCTCTGGTCAGCTAACGTTACTAGTTAGCTAGATGAAACTGTTATGAACCAGCTAGCTATGGGTAGCATGATAGCTACGCTAGTTCTTCCGGGGGCTCGCGCTACGCTAACTAGCTACCTAGTTTTCCAGGTAGATAGCATACTCCATAACATGCTAGTTCATATATACCTCAGTGATGCCAGTGCGCTTCGTCTTTACAACTGGCCGTCAGTTTGCTGTGCAGCTAGCTAGATAGCTAGTGAGCTTAACAGTGCAGATAGCTAGATAGCTAGTGAGTAACAAGTGGTTTAGCTTCGACTTTTGGTTAGCCCAGGCAGGGATGTGGGACATCGTCACAGTATGAGTCACTTTGACATTAGCTCCTTTTTTTCGTAGGGAATCCGAAAACAATCTGTTCACCTGAGCCACAAAACAAGAAGTGAGAGATGCCTCACGGCTCGGATGACGCCCGCAAGCAGTTCATCCTCACCACGACTGGGAACTACTTCGGCCTAAAGCCGCCATCATCCCTTGATGGGTCTGAGGAACTCAACAATTTCTTAGATGATGGGAACGAATTCGTGCTTGCTGTCACCAAACACGAGAATGACCTGTGCCTGTCAAACAAGGTATACTAGACAATACAGGATATGATATCCAAATAGCAATAATGTAAAACACACACATTGATAAACATACACTTCTTTCTCTGTTCACATCTACCAAGATGAGAACAGACGTTTTCTTGCTAACCAGGAACTTAGCTACTGACTTTATAATTTTGTGCCTACATCATCGAAATTGACCTAACCCCAAACCAATATCCTCTTTTTTTTCTGATTTTCGTTATGGCTGTGTACAGATTGAGGCTGGGGACAGCAGAGAGAAGGTTTTAGTGTTCTTCAAGCTGCGTCCCACAGTGATAACAGAGGAGAACCTGCACCAGAATGTCCTGGTGTCCTCCATGCTAGAGTCTCCTATCAGTACCCTCTACCAGGCCGTGCGACAGGTGTTCGCCCCTATGCTACTCAAGGTGAGATCTATTGCCTGTGTAATGAACATATATCACCTGTGTTATGCCTGTGTACTAAAGAGGTAACACCTTTATACCTTGCAGGTGTGTGTTACAGGTGTGTTTATAGATTTATTATGTATTCCCTTATTCTAGGATGAGCGGTGGAGCTCAGCATTTGACCCAAAGCTTGCGGGCCTGCTAAGTGAGCTGGAGCAGGGGCTGGGCTCTGTGATCCGCAGGGCCGGAACAGAAGACACTGGAAAGAGGAGCCACAGAGAAGACGACATCCTGGGTGGGTGCACACTGCTCACGTGGTTCAGAATATCCGGGACCCAGATCTCTATGAGCTTTAGCCAAATCCTCGGACTAGGATATACCTACTAGTACATCAAAATGTAACAGGGGAATTACATCAAATGATATGAAAGACCGAAGAGCAACAACGATCCCCGGTCTAATCATAGTTGACAGTTGAAAACCTCCTGTTGGTGTGTTCTTCTGTCTGTTCAGGTATCCTGACCCCAGTGGATGAGTTCCAGTACTGGGCTGATCTCTCTGAGTCTGGGGACAGGAGCACTGTGAGAGAGAGGGCCTCACACTTCTCTGAGCTCTTCAAGCCCATAGAGAAGGTATGGACTGTGTGTGTACTACCAATATATCATGTCCAGTGTGTCAAAGAGTGAAAAAACAGGACTAGACAATCATTTGTGCCAAATGTGTTTTTTTTGTTTTGTTTTTTTTTCCACCTTTATTTAACCAGGTAAGCCAGTTGAGAACAGGTTCTCATTTACAACTGCGACCTGGCCAAGATAAAGCAAAGTGATATCCCTCCTAAATAGCTTGGGCTAATGTCCTGATCCAATCACTAAGACCAGCAGGCTTCTCATACTGTATATGACTGTCATGACGTTGTATTGTGTAATGTCCTTTTATTGTCCATTTGTGTTGTGGTCTTGTCCTTTTTAAAACGTGTATGATACTGCAACGAATTTCTCCCAAGGGGACAATACATTTAGTAAAGTAAAGAATGTTCCGGCTCAGATTGGCGTCATCAGCCATCTGCTTACTCACCGTAGCCCAGACTCATCCCAATAAATCATGTCATGGTTATCATCGACCTATGATGGACGAACAAGGAAGGAAGGAAGGGGTGTGTTTTGGTGTGTGTGTGTGTGTGTTGACTGTCTCATCCCCCTGTGTGTATCAGGACTACAGTGGTCTGGATGGTGTCTGTCTGTCTGATGCTGTGGAGCTGGTGGAGGTGAGCAGAGACACACTGGATGACGTGTGGAGGCAGAATGACCATGATCCCTTTCCTGAGACGCGCATGCTCAGACTCATGGACGTCATTGGTACGCCACACACACACACACACACACACACACACACACAACCTGGAACTGAAACTGAACTGGCAGAGAGCTAGCTACTGTATTTATTATGGTGGTGTTGTTGCATTATTTCAGATGGCCTGCCATGGCTTGTGTTTCTGACTGTGTGTTTATGTGTGTCAGGCGGTGCGCTGGGCAGGTACGTGCAGAAGAAGCTGAGTGGTGTGAAACTCTTCATGGACCCGTTCCTATCTGTGAGGGAGAGCCTGAGAGTCGGCGTGGTCATCTGTGAGCAGTGGGTGTCAGCCTGTGAGCACCTGAGTGGACAGGTGTGGAAGAGATACGCCCCTTACCCCTGGAAGGGAGACAAGCACCGCCCCCAGGCCCTGCACAGCCTGGCTCAGAGACTGGACGAGGTCAGATGCACCAGCTGTCAATCATTCTCTGTGTCATTAACATCATTGTCATAATTGCATATCAGGAAGTATAGGATATCTCTGCACTCGCTCTTTAGGAACCCTTTTGACTAAGTCACTACACCCCACTTCCTTTTTTTCTTATGTGACAATGTTCCTGAGGTTACTGATGAAGCTTTACCATATGACTTAATGACGTGTGTGTACTGTATATGTGACATGTATGAGAGTCTGTGACTCATCTTTGACCACTTCTCTTTCTGAGGAGGTGACGATCCTTACAGTTCTTGACAAACTCTGACCTGTGTGTGTGTCTCTCAGGTGGTGACGATCCGTACGGTCCATGAGAAGCTGCTCCGTCTGCTGCCTGGAGGAAAACAGCAGGCCTTGGCCTCGGCTCGAGTCTTTGAACCCTTCTCTGGCCTCAACCCCTTACATTACAACCCCTACACTGAGGTAGGAGAGAGAGAGAGAGACAGAGAGAGAGACAGAGAGAGAGAGAGACAGAGAGAGATACATTTACATTTACATTTCCGTCATTTAGCAGACGCTCTTATCCAGAGCGACTTACAAATTGGTGCATTCACCTTATAGCCAGTGGGATAACCACTTTACAATATGTTTCTTTTTTTTTGGGGGGGGGGGGGGGGGGGGGGGGGGTGGGGTAAGGGGGTGTAGAAGGATTACTTTATCCTATCCCAGGTATTCCTTAAAGAGGTGGGGTTTCAAGTGTCTCCGGAAGGTGGTGAGTGACTCCGCTGTCCTGGCGTCGTGAGGGAGCTTGTTCCACCATTGGGGTGCCAGAGCAGCGAACAGTTTTCACTGGGCTGAGCGGGAACTGTGCTTCCGCAGAGGTAGGGGGGCCAGCAGGCCAGAGGTGGATGAACGCAATGCCCTCATTTGGGTGTAGGGACTGATCAGAGCCTGAAGGTACGGAGGTGCCGTTCCCCTCACAGCTCCGTAGGCAAGCACCATGGTCTTGTAGAAGATGCGGGCTTCAACTGGAAGCCAGTGGAGTGTGCGGAGGAGCGGGGTGACGTGAGAGAACTTGGGAAGGTTGAACACCAGACGGGCTGCGGCATTCTGGATGAGTTGTAGGGGTTTAATGGCACAGGCAGGGAGCCCAGCCAACAGCGAGTTGCAGTAGTCCAGACGGGAGATGACAAGTGCCTGGATTAGGACCTGTGCCGCTTCCTGTGTAAGGCAGGGTCGTACTCTCCGAATGTTGTAGAGCATGAACCTACAGGATCGTGTCACCGCCTTGATGTTAGCGGAGAACGACAGGGTGTTGACATGTGATTCCTGTGCCACCACCCCGCTGACCAGATGCTCTCGGGGTATGCGAGAACACATGGTCAGACGAGGAGAGAGCAGTAGGAGTAGCAGTGTTTTCAGTGGTAATCCATGTTTCCGTCAGCGCCAAGAAGTCGAGGGACTGGAGGGTAGCATAGGCTGAGATGAACTCTGCCTTGTTGGCCGCAGAACGGCAGTTCCAGAGGCTGCCAGAGACCTGGAACTCCACGTGGGTCGTGCGTGCAGGGACCACCAGGTTAGAGAGGCAGCAGCCACGCGGTGTGAGGCGTTTGTATAGCCTGTGCGGAGAGGAGAGAACAGGGATAGACAGAGGCATAGTTGACAGGCTACAGAAAATGGCTACAATAATGCAAAGGAGATCGGAATGAAATGAACTAAACAGCTGGGAAAGCGAGAGAGCGGGGCATCCCTCAATTACGTTTCACTGAAACACCCAAATATAACTCTCCCAACTTCCACCTCAGAAACTATAATTGTTGTAAACTACAGCGGTTCAATGTTTTCTAGGAATAGACTAACTTAGTTTATTCAGCTAGCTAACTTGGTACAGTATTCTTCCGTTAAAACCGTCCAGGGCACCTAGTCATATGACGCCACAGCCAACTAGCATGCCGGACTCCAACAACATGGTTTAGCACCAATACTCGGCCACAACAAACCACCACTGTGTCAACACGCCAAGCAGATCATTAGTGTCCGTGTCTAACGTTGTGGGCTAGTCCGGACAGCTTGAGCGAGTCCGTCGTCAACTTATTCAGCCAGTTAGTTAGCTAGAATAGTTAGCATACTAGCTAGCCATTGCTTTCTGCCAATGAAGAAACCCGTCCTCCCACGGCACGAACACACAGTGAGAGCCAAGCTAACGTTAACTAGTCACCCATGTCCCGAATTCCCTTGAACGACTCTGGCTACCAGTATGTAAAAACAAAACACAAATGTAGGTTATAACTTACCCCTAGCAGCTACTGTTAGCTAGCCAAGTGCAAAGATAGCCACTGAATTGACTCAGCCAGTTCGCGTCTGTTCGCTAGGTCGTTCCAGCTATTGTTTAGTAGCTATCCAGGTAGCAACAAGCTAGCTACATTTCGAGCACAGTAGCTACTTACTACCTATCGTTAACGCTTCAGACAATGAGGTTAGAAAAACAGCTGAATGGTAGGCATTATTGTATGTAATTATTGTAGGCAGCTAGCTGGCGTAATTACAGGCACTCTCAGGCGTGAAACAACTATCCACAGTTGCTACTCGCTAGCTAGTCCAGGTAGTGGGTTAGCTAGCTTTGTGCTTCACCGGGCTCAGTCGAATACAATACCTACAATAATTACATACAACAACCTACGAGAACTACCTACAATACCTAACTACAATCTAAATACATAGTTTAAGCTTTACTCGACAAAGCTTAAACCATGTATATAAGCCATATAAGCCAAGCTTACCTCCCGCCAGAGAGAGACACAACCTCACCTGACGACGACAATCGCTACAACAGGGAGAGAGACAGAGGGAGAGAGAGAGAGAGAGAGATAGAGAGAGACAGAGAGAGAGACAGACAGACAGAGAGACAGACAGAGAGACAGACAGAGAGACAGACAGAGAGACAGTCAGAGAGAGAGAGACAGAGAGAGAGAGACAGAGAGAGAGAGACAGAGAGAGAGAGACAGAGAGAGAGAGACAGAGAGAGAGACAGAGAGAGACAGAGAGCAAGACAGACAGAGAGAGACAGAGATAGACAAATAGAGAGAGATGGAGGGGGGCAGTATGTAAAATGACAGAACTACATATCAGAAGCTTTGATGTTTACAGAGAGACCTGACCTGGTTGTTGTCTCTCTCTCTGCTGTAGCCTCTGTGGAGGGCGGCAGTAGCCCAGTTTGAGCGAGCCATCGCCCCAGCAGAGCAGGAGGTGGCAGGCAGACTGAAGGCCTACATCGCAGATGTACAGGACAACCCACAGCAGGTGAGAACATCACCTTGCATGTCTAGTTACATAAGGTTGAAATTCATTGTTTTAAAAATGTTGACCTCATTATTAATTAATTGAAATTGTGTATACAGCTGCTGCAGGCGTTTCAGAAGCACAAGGAGCTGATCAGACGACCCAACGTCAGCAAGGAGCTGCAGTCAGAGAGAGAGACTCTGCTGGCCAGACTGCTGGAATACATCAAGGGTCAGTAGGAGTTCAGTACTTCACAGAGACTGTATATCATAATGTTGTTAGTGATGTCACCCCTCATGTCCTAATCCTGAATTGACCTTTGACCCCCCCCCCCCCCCCCCCCCCCCCAGGGCTGCGGACAGACTTTGAGGGTCGTTGCCATGGCGCCCCGGGGGAAAAGTCCGGCCCCCTGACAGGCCGGAATCTCCCTGAGGTCGTCAACAACATTGTGTGGGTCCGCCAGCTTCTCCATAAGGTGTGTCTTTTCCTCTGTGTGTATGTGTGTATGTATGTGTGTGAGAGAGCGAGAGCACGGTGTGTGTTGATTGATCTGCTGACTGTTTGTGCCTAAGGTGGAGGACTCCATCAAGATAGCGGAGGCTCTGCTGTCAGACCTGTCAGGGTTCCGCTCATTCCTGCGGTTCTGTGATGACCTGCTGGAGGTTCTACGGGCCTACGAACAGGAACAGTTTGATGACTGGTCGAGAGACATCCTCTCTGGCCTCTCTGACCCCAAGTCTGGCATCAGGTCAGTTGAGAACCATACAGCCATTTGTCTTTCTGTCAATCTGTCCTTCCATTCTGTATTAATACTGTATAATAAACCCCCTTGTCTCCCTCCAGTCTTCAGGCCAGTAACCGTGTGATGGAGCTGGACCATATAGATGGGAAGCTGAAGATCCACTACTCTGACCGTCTGGTGGCTCTGCTGAGGGAGGTCAGACAGCTGTCAGCCCTGGGCTTCCCCATCCCAGCCAAGATCCAGCAGGCTGCCAACACCGCAGACAAGTTCTACAGACAGGCCATCATCCTCAAACAGGCAAGGACACAGACACACTCACACACACTCACACGCTGTTATACCCGCACACACACACACACGTCCTGTATTTTATATGTGTTTAGATGTAACTCTGTGTTTGTCTATGGCAGGTGGCCCATTTCTACAACACCATCGACCAGCAGATGATCCCCTCTCAGAGACCCATGATGCTCAACTACGCCCTGGCCTTTGAGCAGGTCATCAAGGTACTGACTCATCCATAGGCTTATAGATCTGTTACCACCACCTCCCCCCGCCCCAACCGAACGCTTTAAGGAATACCATTTCAAATATCCTGATCCTGTCCCTTTTCCCGATGCAGCAGAATCCACGGTCCCAATCCCGGGAGTCTGGCGGGAAGCTGCAGATCACCTGGGATAATCCCAAAGAGCTGGAGGTGTACATTGGAAAACTCCAGTCCGCCGCAGAGAGACTCTCCACTGAGAACCGGAAACTGAGGAAGTGGCACACAGACTTCACTGAGAAGGTGGTGACCCTGATGACTGTGGACCTGCTGAGGCACCAGCAGCGCTGGAAGGACGGCTTACAGGAGCTACGCACCGGGTTCGCCACACTGGAGGCACAGGTAACCACAGAGAATGATAGAGAGTAGGGAGTTTGGCTAGAAAGCTGAGATTAGGGTTTCGAGTCCTTATGTAGGTAAGGGTTATAAAGGTCAGGGTTAGTGATGAGGGTATGTGTGGTTAGAAAACTCTTTACTCCTGTCTGATCTATGATGTTGAGATTGTGTGTGTGTTCGGTGGTGTAGGGGTTCAGATCGGGGGAGATGAAGGCCTGGAGGCAGCACTGGAACCACCAGCTGTACAAGGCCCTGGAACATCAGTACCAGACTGGACTGGAGGCCCTCAACAAGAACCTGCCTGAGATACACATAGACCTCACCTTCAAGTCAGTGGCACTCTCTTTCTCTCTCTCTCTCTCTCTCTCTCTCTCTCTCTCTCTCTCTCTCTCTCTCTCTCTCTCTCTCTCTCTCTCTCTCTCTCTCCTAAGGTAATATAATATACTGCAGTGTAAAAGAATAAAAACATATAAGCCTTGCTCTGCTCTGCTGTCGTCCCCATCTATAGGCAGGGTCGTCTGCAGTTCCGTCCTCCATTTGAGGAGGTGAGGGCCAAGTACTTCAGAGAGATGAAGAGGTTCATCTCCATCCCCAACCAGTTCAAAGGAGTCAGCGCCCAGGGGGAGGAGCTCATCTTCAGCGTCATGATTGACAGGAACGCATCAGGCTTCCTCACCATTTTCAGCAAGGCAGAGGACCTGTTCAGCCGTCTGCTGGGCGTTCAGGACAAGTTTAAGGTGTGTGTGTGTGTGTGTGTGTGTGTGTTAGTGTGTGGCTCAGCGGTTGACTGTTCTTTTAAAAAGAACACCTCCTTTATCTTGAATAGATTTGTGGTAATTTGTTGTATTTCTGGCATGGTCTTATTTTGGCAATGAGTTTAATTTCCTTCCTAGTGGTTCTTTCATGCGTCTTGTGGTTTTAGGAGGGAACCCCCCCCCCCCTCCCCCACAGCAAAGCTTTCTTCTGTCTTTGCTGCCACTCAGGAAAGTATTGTGGTACACCACAGTTTCGGTCACCGCCTGCACAGAAACTCAGTCAACACGCACACATGTTGAATGTTCATCATGAACTACACAAAGCTGTAGGTCTAGATTGGACACAAACTGACTGAATAGCTTTATGTGAAGAAGACCCTTGTCCTTCTAGTCAAGCCACCCAATCTCCACCTGAACCACATGTCTGTCTGTGTATATAATGTCTGGACTGTCTGTCTGTTTATATCATGTCTGTAATGTACTCTGAGTGTACAAAACATTAGGAACACCTTCTTAATATTGAGTTGCACCAACTTTAGCACTCAGAACAGCCTTAATTCATTGAGGCATGGACTCTACAAGGTGTCGAAAGTGTTCCACAGGGATGCTGGCCCATGTTGACACCAATGCTTTCCACAGCAATTGTGTCAAGTTGGCTGGATGTCCTTTGGGTGGGGGACCATTCTTGATACACACGAGAAACTGTTGAGCGTGAAAAACCCAGCAGTGTTGCAGTTCTCGACACAAACCGGTGCGCCTGGCACCTACTACCATACCCCGTTCAAAGGCACTTAAATCTTTTGTCTTGCCCATTCACCCTCTGAATGGCACACATACACAATCCATGTCTCAATTGTCTCAAGGCTTGAAAATCCTTCTTTAACCTGTCTCCTCCCCTTCATTGATTGAAGAGGATTTAACAGGTGACATCAATAAGGGATCATAGCTTTCACCTGATCAGTCTGTCATGGAAAGAGCATGTTTTGTACACTCAGTGTATATCTGAGTATATAATGTCTGCATGCTGCATATCTGCACTCTGAATCTCTGAGATGTGTGATCTATCCTAGCGTATATCTGCACTCTGAATCTCTGAGATGTGTGATCTATCCTAGCGTATATCTGTACTCTGAATCTCTGAGATGTGTGATCTATCCTAGCGTATATCTGTACTCTGAATCTCTGAGATGTGTGATCTATCCTAGCGTATATCTGTACTCTGAATCTCTGAGATGTGTGATCTATCCTAGCGTATATCTGCACTCTGAATCTCTGAGATGTGTGATCTATCCTAGCGTATATCTGTACTCTGAATCTCTGAGATGTGTGATCTATCCTAGCGTATATCTGTACTCTGAATCTCTGAGATGTGTGATCGATCTGTGTGTTCTCTCTGTAGGAGTGGGTGGTGCTGGGCCAGCTGGACATGGACGTGTTGGTGGAGAAGCAGCTATCGTCTGTCCAGGACTGGGAGAGGAACTTCAAGGCCCTGAAGGCCAGAGGGAAGGAGTCAGAACGCCTGCCCAGGTACACAGCCTCCCATAGGCCACAAAGCTTCCATTGATCAGACTGTTGCAGTCATGATAAAACCGTTTTGTCTCTATCAGTCTGGAGAAGGTTGACTGTATCTCAGTGAACTGTGAGCCAGTGAAGGCAGTGATTGATGACCTCATCCAGAGACTGTTTGATGCCCTGCTGATGTCACTCAGGAAGTCCATACAAGGTAAAGCCTGGAACCTCACTTGAAATACAGTGAGGGAAAAAAGTATTTGATCCCCTGCTGATTTTGTACGTTTGCCCACTGACAAAGACATGATCAGTCTATAATTTTAATGGTAGGTTTATTTGAACAGTGAGAGACCGAATAACAACAAAAAAATCCAGAAAAAACGCATGTCAAAAATCTTATAAATTGTTTTCTCATTTTAATGAGGGAAATAAGTATTTGACCCCTCTGCAAAACATGACTTAGTACTTGGTGGCAAAACCCTTGTTGGCAATCACAGAGGTCAGACGTTTCTTGTAGTTGGCCACCAGGTTTGCACACATCTCAGGAGGGATTTTGTCCCACTCCAGATCTTCTCCAAGTCATTAAGGTTTCGAGCCTGACGTTTGTCAACTCGAACCTTCAGCTCCCTCCACAGATTTTTTTTTATGGGATTAAGGTCTGGAGACTGGCTAGGCCACTCCAGGACCTTAATGTGCTTCTTCTTGAGCCACTCCTTTGTTGCCTTGGCCGTGTGTTGTGGGTCATTGTCATGCTGGAATACCCATCCACGACCCATTTTCAATGCCCTGGCTGAGGGAAGGAGGTTCTCACCCAAAATTTGACGGTACATGGCCCCGTCCATCGTCCCTTTGATGCAGTGAAGTTGTCCTGTCCCCTTAGTAGAAAAACAGACCCAAAGCATAATGTTTCCACCTCCATGTTTGACGGTGGGGATGGTGTTCTTGGGGTCATAGGCAGCATTCCTCCTCCTCCAAACACGGCGAGTTGAGTTGATGCCAAAGAGCTCGATTTTGGTCTCATCTAACCACAACACTTTCACCCAGTTCTCCTCTGAATCATTCAGATGTTCATTGGTAAACTTCAGACGGGCCTGTATATGTGCTTTCTTTAGCAGGGGGACCTTGCGGGCGCTGCAGGATTTCAGTCCTTCACGTCGTAGTGTGTTACCAATTGTTTTCTTGGTGACTATGGTCCCAGCTGCCTTGAGATCATTGACAAGATCCTCCCGTGTAGTTCTGGGCTGATTCCTCACCATTCTCATGATCATTGCAACTCCACGAGGTGAGATCTTGCATGGAGCCCCAGGCCGAGGGAAATTGACAGGTCTTTTGTGTTTCTTCCATTTGCGAATAATCGCACCAACTGTTGTCACCTTCTCACCAAGCTGCTTGGCGATGGTCTTGTAGCCCATTCCAGCCTTGTGTAGGTCTACAATCTTGTCCCTGACATCCTTGGAGAGCTCTTTGGTCTTGGCCATGGTGGAGAGTTTGGAATCTGATTGATTGATTGCTTCTGTGGACAGGTGTCTTTTAAACAGGTAACAAGTTGAGAATAGGAGCACTCACTTTAAGAGTGTGCTCCTAATCTCAGCTCGTTACCTGTATAAAAGACACCTGGGAGCCAGAAATCTTTCTGATTGAGAGGGGGTCAAATACTTATTTCCCTCATTAAAATGCAAATCAATTTATAACATTTTTGACATGCGTTTTTCTGGATTTTTTTGTTGTTATTCTGTCTCGCACTGTTCAAATAAACCTACCATTAAAATTATAGACTGATCATTTCTTTGTCAGTGGGCAAACGTACAAAATCAGCAGGGGATCAAATACTTTTTTCCCTCACTGTACATACTCAAATCTCCCAGTGACACCAGTGTATGATTGTTGATGTATCTTGTGTGCAGGGGCTTTACGACAGTTTTGTTCACATGACGTGTTTTCTCACTCCCGATCTTTCCCTTTCTGTTTTGTTCTAATAATCTTTCTTCTCTGTTGTCCCCCCCCCCTCCCCCCTGTTGTCCCCCCCTCCCCCTGTTGTCCCCCCCTCCCCCTGTTTCCCCCCCTCCAGGCCATACCCTAGACATAGACAGTTTTGTGACTGAGGCCATGGAGACGTTGTCCTCTCGTCCAGAGAGTATTGATGAGATAGGAGAGGCCAATTCCAGACACAGCCAGATACATGCCCGCAAACCAGATGTAAGCAACTCACTTTGAGGGACTCAACGTTACTTAAAGGTCCTGAACAGTCATTCTGAAAAGTACTTTTTCTCTCATGGCTAACTACCAGGAAGTTTGAAAATACAGGCTGAGTGTGCGGGGAGCTTATATTCATGAGCTTTGAAACGCCTATGTAAAGCAACTTGGATGCAGTGACCCCAGTGTTGCAGTAAAATCATCTGAAGCTAATTTGGTGATACACAAAGCAACTCAAACAACATTGAAATTGCACCAATGATATATATACAAAAAGAAGTACATCTCCCGTTTGGCATGTCTCTTGTGATGCGCTTCACAGCAGCACTGACTGATGTGTTGACCTGACAACTGCATCTGCCCCCCCCCTGCTGGCTGAACACCAAACTAGCCAGTAACTAGCGAACCCCCCCCCCCCGCTGGCGAACCCCCCCCCCCCCCTGCTGGCTGAACACCAAACTAGCCAGTAACTAGCGAACACCAGACACAGGTGAAAGGGGAAACATGGGGAAGGGGACCAGTAACTTTATGATCAAACTTTATCAATGTAGAAGCAACAGTCATTTTTTTATACTTTGGTCACACTTTGATCTGGTTTCCTTCAAATATCATCAATTTTCATGAAAAACATGATTTTGACTGTTCATGACCATTAACATTCAATCACTACTACCACAGTTCTGTAAAGTTGCCTGAGCGTTGCTGTAATGTTTGTGATGTTCCATATATATCGAGCCCCGGTTTTGTAACGTTGTCTGAGCGTTGCTCTAATGTTTGTGTGATGTGTTTTTGTGTAGATCCTGCCCCAGTTCCAGGCTGCGGAGGAGAAGAACCGTCTGCTGAGGGCCGTCGCAGGAGGAGGGCTGGACTCTCTGTCCTCCCTCAGGGCCAAGTGGGACAAACTAGAGCTGATGATGGAGAGCCACCAGCTGATGATCAAAGAGCAGGTACACACACACACACACACACACACACACACACACACACACACACACACACACGAGAGAGAGAGCGCAAACACACACACACACACACACACACACACACACACACACACACACACACGAGAGAGAGAGCGCAAACACACACACACACACACACACACACACACACACACACACACACACACACACACACACACACACACACACGAGAGAGAGAGCGCAAACACACACACGCACACTTTTGCAAACACGCTTGGGACAAACGCATAAACACAGATGCTCATTCCCTAATTTCCCCCCCGTTTCTCCCTCTCCTCTAGGTGGAGGTGATGCGTAGTAATGCTGAGAGTCGTATCCAGGCCTACAGGCTGGAGCTGGACAGGTTCAGGGCTCGCTGGGACCAGCTGAAGCCCAGAGATGAGGTCATAGAGACGGGAGACCAGGCAGCCCTGCTGGCCTCTGTCCAAACCATCAGAGACAAGAAACAGGAGTTCCAGGAGCTGGAGGTCACACGCACACGCCTGCTGTAGGTTTACACACACACACACACACACACACACACACACACACACACACACACACACACACACACACACACAGCAAGTCAACTTTACTTTCAATCCTTCAGTTTTCTGTGTACTAATGAGTGTCTCTTCTCAGTGAGGACTGTCGTCACTTTGAGCTGGAGGCTCCAGACTTCTCCCTGGCGGAGGAGACCATCAGAGACATGGAGGAGTATGGCCAGATGTGGTCTCTGTATGAGGACTGGCAGGAGGACTTCCAGAAGAAGGCGAAGGAGGACTGGATCACATTCAGGTTAGGAGTCTGACATCAGAGAGGTGTCAGGGAAGGTTTGGGGTTTGATTTGATATTATCATTTCCACCTTGTTTGTCTTCGCTGGCTAACTAGTGGTTGAATAAACAGTTTGTGTGTGTGTTTTGCTTTTTGCAGGAGTAAGACCTATGTGTTTGAGGAGTTCCTGTTTGCGTGGCAGGACAGACTGAGGAAGCTTGAGCAGCACACCAGCCTGTCTGTTAAACTACAGAGAGAAGTTGACAAGTACAAGGTGAGGGGGAGAGAGAGAGAGAGAGAGAGAAAAGTGGAAGACAAACTCCTCTGTCTGCTAAGCAGAAATGTTAACATGTATTCTGTCTATCTGTGTGTATAGAGTCTGGTTCCGGTGTTAAAATGTATTCTGTGTGTGTTTGTAGAGTCTGGTACCAGTGTTAAAGTACGTGCGAGGGGAGCACCTATCCCAGGACCACTGGTTGGATCTGTTCAGATTGTTGGGTCTTCCTAAAGGCACTACCCTGGAGAGACTGACCTTCTGGGATCTCCTCAGTGTGGCTGATACCATCACTGACCGAGCCCTGGAGCTCAAAGACCTAAACAGCAGAGCCCAGGCGGAGGTGACCATCAGAGAGGCTCTCAGAGAGCTGGACCTGTGGGGGGCTGGAGCTGCCTTTACCCTCACTGAGTACACAGACAGCGCTGGACACACACTCACTCTCATCAAGGACTGGAAGGACTGCTGATACATCTCTACCGTAACCGGGACATACTACTATATCCAGGACTACTGAACACACTCACACTGAGTACCACACTCACTGACCTGGACTACACTCACCTCACTGAGTACACACTCACTACTGGACACACTCACTACGGACCACAACTACGGGAAACCATGGACATACACACTCACTACCGGACACAGCACTCACTACCGGACACACTCACTACCGGACACACTCACTACTGATACACACTCACTACTGGACACTCTCACTACCGGACACACTCACTACTGATACACACTCACTACGGACACACTCACTACTGGACACACTCACTACTGAACACACTCACTACGGACCACACACTCACTACGGACACACTCACTACTGGACACACTCACTACGGACACACTCACTACTGGACACACTCACTACGGACCACTCACTACGACACACTCACTACGGGACACATCACTACTGACACACTCACTACTGGACACACTCACTACTGGACACACTCACTACCGGACACACTCACTACCGGACACACTCACTACTGGACACACTCACTACCGGACACACTCACTACCGGACACACTCACTACCGGACACACTCACTACCGGACACACTCACTACTGGACACACTCACTACCGGACACACTCACACTCATTACCGGACACACTCACTACCGGACACACTCACACTCACTACCGGACACACTCACTACTGGACACACACACACTCACTACAGGACACACTCACTTCCGGACACACTCACTTCTGGACACACTCACTACCGGACACACTCACTACAGGACACACACACACTCACTACCGGACACACACACACTCACTACCGGACACACACACACTCACTACCGGACACACACACACACACTACCGGACACACTCACTACCGGACACACCTACACTCACTACCGGACACACTCACTACCGGACACACACACACTCACTACCGGACACACACACACTCACTACCGGACACACTCACTACCGGACACATACACTACCGGACACACTCACTACCGGACACGGACACACTCACTACCGGACACACTCACACACACACTACCGGACACACTCACTACCGGACACACACACACTCACTACCTGGACACAGTCTAACCTGGTCTCCTATACAGGTTGGTGATAACCGCTGCCTTCTGCAGTCTCTGAAGGACTCTCCATACTACCGCGGCTTCCAGGACAAGGTGAGTCTTTAGAGTTACTCAGAACTGAAAGCACAGCATCTTTAAAAGTAGCTGCTTTACCTAGTGTTACCGTGTGTGTGTGTTTGTCCAGGTTAGTCTGTGGGAGGTACGTCTGTCTGATCTAGATGAGTACCTGGTCAGTCTGAATGCCATCCAGAGGCGCTGGGTCTACCTGGAGCCCATCTTCGGACGGGGGGCTCTGCCCAGGGAACAAGCCCGTTTCAAACGGGTCGACGAGGACTTTAGGTACTCCTGTCCCTGTGTGTGTTTCTAAACTGTGTGTGTGTGTGTGGCTCTGTTTTTTCTGATCCATTGTCCATGTTGTACTCTGTGTGTTTCTAAACTGTGTGTGTGTCTGTGTGTCAGGTCCATCTTGGCTGATGTCCAGAGGGACAGCAGGGTGACGTCTCTGAGCTCTCGTTCTGGCATCAGAAACTCCCTCATCACCATCTTAGACCAGCTCCAGCGCTGCCAGAAATCACTCAACGAGTTCCTAGAGGTACTGAACAATCAACTACCAACCAGGGATTAATAAATTAACAAATCAATAAATCTATACTTCAATTGATTCGCCAATCAGTACTAGTACAAAGATGGATGTATATGTCCTCACTAAACATAGAAATAAAAAAACATACACTGAGTGGACAAAACACCTTCCTAATATTGAGTTGCACCCCCTTTTGCCCTCAGAACAGCCTCAATTCATCGGGGCATGGACTCTACAAGGTGTTGAAAGTGTTCCACAGGGATGCTGGCCCATGTTGACTCCAATGCTTCCCACAGTAGTCTCAAGTTGGCTGGATGTCCTTTGGGTGGTGGAACATTCTTGATAGACATGGGAATCTGTTGAGTGTGAAAAACCCAGCAGCGTTGCAGTTCTTGACACAAACCGGTGCCCCTGTACCTACTACCATACCCTGTTCAAACGCACTTAAATCTGTTGTTTTGTCCATTCACCCTCTGAATGGCACGCATACACAATCCATGTCTTAGTTTTCCTTCTTTAAACTGTCTCCTCCCCTTCATCTACATTGATTGAAGTGGATTTAACAAGTAACATCAATAAGGGATCATAGCTTTCACCTGGATTGACCTGGTCAGTCTACGTCATGGAAAGAGCAGGTGTTCATAATGTTTTGTCCACTCAGTGTAGAAGTGTATGTCTCTGTCCCCTGTAGGAGAAGCGTTCTGCCTTCCCACGGTTCTACTTCATTGGCGATGATGACCTGCTGGAGATTCTGGGCCAGGCCACCAACCCCACTGTCATACAGTCACACCTCAAGAAGCTGTTCGCTGGTACACACACACACACACACACACACACACACACGCTCACACCCAAATCCCAACGTCAATACAGTAACAACTAAAGAAGCTGTCAACTGGTGAAACTGATGTGTCTGTAGTGACAGTGGATATAACTGTGTTCTCTGTAGGCATCAACAGTGTTGACTTTGATGGGGACTGCCAGCACATCGTGGCCATGCGCTCTCTAGAGGGAGAGGTGGTCCCCCTCAGGAACCTCATCCGAATCTCCAACAGCGTAGAGGTAGGGGGGTGGACGGGTCAAGGGGCACGGGGGTAGAGGGTAGGGGGTACTGCAATGTGTACCTCAATCACACAACTCCATTATTACACACAACTCAATTATATAGCTCCTTAAAAGTGTGTGTGTGTGTGTGGGTTCCAGGTGTGGCTGGGTGAGCTGTCTGCTGAGATGAAGGAGACTCTGAAGCAGCTGCTGTGTGAGTGTGTGTCAGCAGGGAGGAAAGGAGAGGTGGACCCGTCCCGCTACCCCTCTCAGGTATGATTCATTACATTTACATTTACATTTTTTAGTCATTTAGCAGACGCTCTTATCCAGAGCGACTTACAGTTAGTGAGTACATACATACATTACTCATTGATGCTATCTGACTCTTCTCTTATTGTGTTTCTCCTATATGACTCCTGTCTGACTCCAGTATAACTCCTGTCTGACTCCAGTATAACTCCTTTCTGACTCCTGTCTCACCAGTATAACTCCAGTATAAATCCTGTCTGACTCCAGTATGACTCCTGTATGAGTCCTGTTTAACTCCAGTATAACTCCTGTCTGACTCCAGTATAACTCCTGTCTGACTCCGGTATAACTCCTGTCTGACTCCGGTATAACTCCTGTCTGACTCCAGTCTGACTCCTGTCTGACTCCAGTCTGACTCCTGTCTGACTCCGGTATAACTCCTTTATGAGTCCTGTTTAACTCCAGTATAACTCCTGTCTGACTCCAGTATAACTCCTGTCTGACTCCGGTATAACTCCTGTCTGACTCCGGTATAACTCCTGTCTGACTCCAGTCTGACTCCTGTCTGACTCCAGTATAACTCCTGTCTGACTCCGGTATAACTCCTGTCTGACTCCGGTATAACTCCTGTCTGACTCCTGTCTGACTCCAGTCTGACTCCAGTATAACTCCTGTCTGACTCCAGTATAACTCCTGTCTGACTCCAGTATAACTCCTGTCTGACTCCAGTATAACTCCTGTATGAGTCCTGTTTAACTCCAGTATAACTCCTGTCTGACTGCAGTATAACTCCTGTCTGACTCCGGTATAACTCCTGTCTGACTCCTGTCTGACTCCAGTCTGACTCCAGTCTGACTCCAGTCTGGACTCCAGTATAACTCCTGTCTGACTCCGGTATAACTCCTGTCTGACTCCAGTATAACTCCTGTCTGACTCCAGTATAACTCCTGTCTGACTCCAGTATAACTCCTGTCTGACTCCTGATTGACTCATGTATGAGTCCTGTATAGTTCCTGTCTGATCTTTGTATCTCCTGGTGTAGAGCCATTGTAATTTCTGCCTGACTCCTTAGTGACTCCTGTCTGAGCCCTGATGTAGATCCTGTCTGACTCCTAATGGACTCCTGACTGACTCCTGTGTCTCTGGGTGTAGATCCTGTGCTTGGCAGAGCAGATCCAGTTCACTGAGGAGGTGGAGAGTGGTCTGAGAAACAGCAGTCTGCAGCAGCTGGAGGTGGAGCTCACCGCTAAGTTGGAGCACTACACCACCGTAGACACCAGCTCTGAGGAGACGGGAAACACAGGTGTGTGTGTGTGTGTGTGTGTGGTTGCTTATTGTTACAGTGGCTCATTGGCATGCCTCAGCCCTATCTGATGTTAATTATGTTACTGTGTTACAATTATGTTACAATCTGCTGTTTTATTTACCTAGTGTGAAGTCAGATAACCAGTACATGTGTGTCTCTCCCCAGCTCCCCAGGCTAAAGAGGTCAGATAACCAGTACATGTGTGTCTCTCCCCAGCTCCCCAGGCTAAAGAGGTCAGATAACCAGTACATGTGTGTCTCTCCCCAGCTCCCCAGGCTAAAGAGGTCAGATAACCAGTACATGTTTCTCTCTCCCCAGCTCCCCTGGCTAAAGAGGTCAGATAACCAGTACATGTGTGTCTCTCCCCAGCTCCCCAGGCTAAAGTGGTCAGATAACCAGTACATGTGTGTCTCTCCCCAGCTCCCCAGGCTAAAGTGGTCAGATAACCAGTACATGTGTGTCTCTCCCCAGCTCCCCAGGCTAAAGAGGCTTGCTAAGAGGCTGCAGTCATAACTGTCAGTCTAATCTAATGGCCGGCCCCTAATGAATAGCTACATAAAACAGCTCTTGTGTGGACTGGCTGGGGAGGAGAAGCTCTCTGACTGAGGGAGAGGCCACGGTGATAAAACTCCGCTCACAGCACAGGGCCCAAGCATTAGATACAGTCCTGGGGGAGACATGACTAGGGCCAGATCTAAAAGGATCTTATCAATACCATTAGCGTTATCAACAACCACATGGCCTGAGCAGGAAAGACCCTGGGCCTACATAGCTCTGATCAGAATCTGTGCACTGTATTGGTAGTGTGGAGCCATTTTGAGACATAGGGTCTGTGCTGATAGGATGCTTCTCCCCCATAGAGTCTAGTGTGGAGACATTTTGAGACATAGGGTCTGTTCTGATAGGATGCTTCTCCCCCATAGAGTCAAGTGTGGAGCCATTTTGAGACACAAGGTCTGTTCTGATAGGATGCTTCTCCCCCATAGAGTCAAGTGTGGAGCCATTTTGAGACAGGGTCTGTGCTGATTGGTTGCTTCTCCCCCATAGAGTCAAGTGTGGAGCCATTTTGAGACACAGGGTCTGTTCTGATAGGATGCTTCTCCCCCATAGAGTCAAGTGTGTTGCAGCTGAAGCTGAAGGCTCTGATCCTAGACATCATCCATAACATCAGTGTGGTGAAGCAGCTGTGTGAGGAGGCGGTGAGCAGCCCTGACGCCTGGGCCTGGAGGAAACAGCTCCGTTTCTACCTCGACAACGACAGACGCTGCTCCATACAGATGGTCGACGCTCACTTCAGCTATACATACGAGTACCAGGTACAAAAACCTCTACACAGATATACTGTACTTCTGACCACCTCTCTACACAGATATACTTCTGACCATCTCATCTACACACACCTGTACACGTCTAAATGACAGTTCTACACACTTCAGTACCAGGCAGCAGTTCAACTACAGCGCTATGCAGTCCTGCACCACTGGGGGGAGATGTTCACCCAGAGATAAGGACACCTCTCACACTGTGTGTGCTGCAGTCTCTCTGCAAAGTCTGCCTCAACACACTGTCATCCTCTCTCTCTCTCTCTCTCCATCCCTCCCCTCCTCTATCTCTCTCAGGGTAATGCGGCTAAGCTGGTCCACACTCCCCTGACTGATAAGTGTTATCTGACCTTGACCCAGGCCATGATGATGGGTTTGGGGGGAAACCCCTACGGCCCTGCCGGCACCGGCAAGACTGAGTCAGTCAAAGCCCTGGGGGGCCTGTTCGGAAGACAAGTACTTGTCTTCAACTGTGATGAGGTAAACAAACACACACACACAGTCACACACACGTGACGAATGCACACACACACACACACACACACACACAGTCACACACACGTGACGAATGCACACACACACACACACACACACACACACACACACACACACAGTCACACACACGTGACGAATGCACACACACACACACACACACACACACAGTCACACACACGTGACGAATGCACACACACACACACACAAATGCACGAACAAACACTTAACATTACTAAAACTCAGAAATGTAACATAAGGTGAATTCTTTTTTGAAAAGAAATTAGCAAATTTCAAGATCTCCTGAATAAAGAAAGGATGGATAAATAAATAAAGTAAATGAATGAATCAGTAAATGGTGTGTTGCAGGGAATAGACGTGAAGTCTATGGGCCGGATCTTTGTGGGGCTGGTGAAGTGTGGAGCGTGGGGCTGCTTTGATGAGTTTAACCGCCTGGAGGAGGCTGTGTTGTCTGCAGTGTCCATGCAGATACAGGGTATCCAGAACTCACTGAAGAACCACAGGACCAGCTGTGAGCTGCTGGGCAAGGAGGTGACCACACAGTCACACAGTCACTTAGGCATGCTTGGCACGCAGATACTTGTATGGTATATTGCATGCTGGTATTTTAAACGCTCTCTCTTGCTCTCTCGCTCTCTCTCCATGTTAGGTGGAGTTGGACCCTAACTCGGGGGTGTTTATAACGTTGAACCCGGCTGGGAAGGGTTATGGAGGGAGACAGAAGCTGCCTGACAACCTGAAGCAGCTGTTCAGGCCCGTGGCCATGTCCCGACCAGACAACGAGCTCATCGCTGAGGTCATCCTCTACTCAGAGGGCTTCAAAGACGGAGAGATACTGGGTCGCAAGCTGGTCGCCATCTTCAACCTCGCCAGGTGTGTCTTTGTGTCTATTTCAAAGGGATAGTGCAACATTTTGGCAACTAAGCCCCCTTTTGACTTACCCAAAGTCAGCTGAACTCATGGATAACATTGTTATGTCTCTGTGTGCAGTAAACTTTCAGTATACAAATGGTATCCATGAGTTCATCTGACTAGAAAAGTGGCTTGATTGCTAAAATCTCTCACTATCCCTTTAATAGGTCTCTGTATCTGTTTATAGGGATATGTTTTGTGACTGGGTGTGTATGTATCTACTATGTCTGAGTGTGTAACATGTATGGACTGTGTGTAGGGAGCTCTTGACCCCCCAGCAGCACTACGACTGGGGGCTGAGGGCACTGAAGACAGTGCTGAGGGGTTGTGGCAGTCTGCTGCAGCAGCAGAGGAGGAGTGAGGCCAAGAACAAGAGTAAGACCGTCTAAACTTACACTTACTCCCCTCCCCCCAAACATCCCTAATAGCCAAATATCCCCCTAAAAACGGTCCTCTGTCTCAGCCTTTGGGCTCTCTCTCCTCTCTCTGTCCTTTTGTCCTTTTCCTCAAACACTGGTCTTAGCTGAGTTGTTTTCCTCCCCCATCCCTCTCGCCCCTCTTTGCCTCTTCCTCTCTCCCTCCCCCTCTCTCTGACCTCTCCCCGCCTGGTTAGTCATATCTCTCTGATCCCCGGTTGATTGCTTTGTCTCTCTCTCTCTCTCTCTCTCTCGCTCTCTGTCATCGGTCTCTCCGGTCTGTCTATCTCTCGGGTCTCAGTCTCTCTCGCTCTGTCTCTGTATCTCTGATCTCTCTGCTCTCTCTGTCTCTGTCTCGTCTTCTCTCTCTCTCTATCTCTGTCTCTCTCTCTAATCTGCTCTCTCTCTCTCTCTGTCTCTCTCTCTCTGTCCTCTCCTCTCTCTTTCTTCTCTGTCTCTCTCTCTCTGTCTCTCTCTCTCTCTCTGTCTCTCTCTCTCTATGATCTCTGTCTCTCTCTCTCTCTGTCCCTCGCTCATCTCTCGCTCTCTCTCGCTCTCTCTCTCTCTCTCTCTCTCTCTCTCTCTCTCTCTCTCTCTCTCTCTCTGTCTCTGTCTCTCCTCTCTCTCTGTCGTCCGCTGTCTCTCTCTCTCTCTGTCCCTCTCTCTCTCTCGCACTCTCTTCTCTCTCTCTCTCTTCCTCTCTCTCGTCCCCCTCCTACTCTTGTCCTCAATCTTTTTCGTCTTATCTGCTTGTCTGTCCTCTATTCGTCTCTCTTTCTCTTAGTCTTACTTCTCTCGTCTCTCTCTCTCTCTCTCTGTCTCTCTCTTGCTCTCAGTCTTTCTCTCTCGTTCTCTCTCGCTCTGTCGTGTCTGTCCTCCTCTCTCTCTCTCTCTCTCTCTCTCTCTCTCTCTCTCTCTCTCTCTCTCTCTCTCTCTCTCTCTCTCTCTCTCTCTCTCTCTCTCTCGTCTACTCTATTTGTCAGACAGCACGTTTGTCCCTGGGTCTTGCTCTGTTTGCTCCCTCTATTGTCAGGCAAAATGTTCCAGTGAAAAACCATCCCTGCTCCTTTTTCTGTGCCTCTAGTACCAGCAGCTTTACAAAAGTATCGATGCACTCTAAATCATGACACGGGTCGTAATTAGCACATTTTATAAAGCTGCTGATGTAGCTAGTAGCAACACAGTGTAGCAGAATAACAAAGAAACAAGTTAACTTTTATACAAATGAACTCCTCTCTCCCATGTATCCCCTCTCTGTCTCTGCCTCCACCCCTCTCTATCTCTGTGTTCCCTCTCTATCTCTGTGTTCCCTCTCTATCTCTGTGTTCCCTCTCTATCTCTGTGTTCCCTCTCTATCTCTGTGTTCCCTCTCTGGCTCTGCCTCCACCCCCTCTCTATCTCTGTGTTCCCTCTCTGGCTCTGCCTCCACCCCCTCTCTATCTCTGTGTTCCCTCTCTGGCTCTGCCTCCACCCCCTCTCTATCTCTGTGTTCCCTCTCTGTCTATGTGTTCCCTCTCTGGCTCTGCCTCCACCCCCTCTCTATCTCTGTGTTCCCTCTCTGGCTCTGCCTCCACCCCCTCTCTATCTCTGTGTTCCCTCTCTGGCTCTGCCTCCCCCCTCTCTATCTCTGTGTTCCCTCTGTTCTGCCTCCACCCTCTCTATCTCTGTGTTCCCTCTCTGGCTCTGCCTCCACCCCTCATCTATTATCTCTGTGTTCCCTCTCTGGCTCTGCCTCCACCCTCTCTGTCTCTGTGTTCCTCTCTGGCTCTGCCTCCACCCCCTCTCTATCTATGTGTTCCCTCTCTGGCTCTGCCTCCACCCCTCTCTATCTCTGTGTTCCCTCTCTGGCTCTGCCTCAACCCCCTCTATATCTCTGTGTTCCCTCTCTATCTCTGTGTTCCCCAGTCAAGGAGAGTGTTCTGGTGGTGCAGGCACTGAGGTTGAACACCATGTCCAAGCTGACATTTGCAGACAGCAGCAGGTTTGATGCCTTGGTCCAAGATGTGTTCCCTGGGGTGGGCTTCACTGACGTGGAGGACCAGACCCTCAGTCACGCCCTGCAGGCCGTATACGAGGAGGCACACCTCCAACTCATACCCAGCCAGGTGGGGGACTGTGGCCGTGTGTGTGTGTTTGTGGGACACTCCTCATACATGATGAAAGCTCTGGTCTGGAGTTGTATGAGCTGTTTTAGTCAAGAGGATAGAAGAAAGGATGGATGTCGGGATGGATGGATGTAGGGATGGATGGATGTAGGGATGGATGGATGGATGGATGTAGGGATGGATGGATGGATGGATGTAGGGATGGATGGATAAAGTAGTTTTTCTCTGTAGATGAAGAAGGCTCTGGAGCTGTGTGAGCAGTTGAGACAGCGTATGGGAGTGGTGATCGTAGGCCCCAGCGGGGCAGGTAAATCTACTCTGTGGAGGATGCTGCGTGCCGCCCTGGGCAGGACAGGCAGGGTGGTGAGTATACACCTGATTAATCATGATAATCACAATCCTTATATTGTTATTCTGTCTGCGTTACCCTCCCAGGAAAAGCTCTGTGCCCTAGTTATCTTTAATCATAATCGTATTAATATTTTATTAATGTAACATTACAGTTAGCAATAGAATGTCATTTGAGATGCAGCCACTGACCTATGCCACCGAACAACTTGGTCCCTGCCTGTCCTTGTCGCTGTCATGGTGGGTCTAGGTGAAGCAGTATACAGTGAACCCTAAAGCCATGCCCCGCCAGCAGCTGCTGGGTCACATAGACATGGACACTAGGGAGTGGACTGACGGGGTTCTCACAAACAGCGCCAGGCAGGTGGTCAGAGAACCACAGGGTAAGAACCACTACCGGGAAACAACCACAACACAACCATGAGGCCAGACTGCATCTTTTAGACGTATTAGAAGAAGTATTCTATTCTACTCTGAAAGATAGTGACAGTGAAAGTTAAACAAGCCATAGAAAGTTGGTTGCAATTTCAGTTTAATCCACCAAAGACAGAACAAATATTACAACAAATATTATGGTTAAACTCAAATATACTAATTGATGATTTTTTTATTTCTTTTGGTGGGGGGAAATGATATCATATATAGGACTGGTTAAGTTATGTCTCACATGCAGCTAATATAAATATATGGAAATGTCTGCTCTATCCAAAATTACAACCAACTAATTGCAGCATTACTGCAAAATTGGAAGAGGCAAGTGGAAGGGGGAGAAAGTAAGGAACTTGTCTGTTGGCCCTGCATTAAAGACCAAGATTGGTTAAAGAAAATTATGATAAATAAAAAAGTATACCAGTTTCATTTCAGGACCAAAACATTTACAGCTGTGCCATACAGATTTCAAAATAGTTTGGAAGAGATTTTTGATGTAATGCTGGATTCAAAACATAGTTTTTCTATTTAAATTATTATACAAAATTCTTGCAAACAATAGAATGTTATATATACAGTATGGGTGATACAACCATCCCAGCTCTGCAGATGTTGCTGCGAAGAGACAGACTCATTAGATCATTTGTTTTGGTAGTGTCCATATGTAGCTTGTTTTTGGTCACAGGTTCAGGAATGGCTGAAGAATTGCAACATTTACCTGGAGTTAACTCTGCAGATAGCCCTGCTGGGTGATCTGAAAAGTCATAGTCAATCGATCAATAATAGAATAATGCTCTTAGAATTTTTTTGAATCTTTAATTTACAATTTGTAGAAACTATGAGAATGGAAAGGTTCTGAACTTTTGTGAAACATCACAGCATAGTTTAAAAATATCTGGCAAAGAAATCAAAACTGGATGGTGTTCAGAGAAAGATGGGAGGGGTTGAGGGTGGAATTTAAAACAAACAAAAGATAACTCATGTAAAATATACTGTGTCTGTAAAATGTAAATAGTATGTATACACTGGAAGTAGAAGCCTAAGTGTTGTTGTCCATTAGTTTACTCCAATTAGGGGAGGGGTGGTAGGGTTAGGGGAAAATAATAAAGGAAAATATATTTAAATATATGTACAGTACCAGTCAAAAGTTTGGACACACCTACTCATTCAAGGGTTTTTCTTTATTTTTGCTATTTTTTACATTGTAGAATAATAGTGAAGACATCACAACTATGAAATAACACATATGGAATCATGTAGTAACTAAAAAAGTGTTAAACAAATTTGTCAAAAAGCCACCCTTTGCCTTGATGACAGCTTTGCACACTCTTGGCATTCTATCAACCAGCTTCACCTGGAATGCTTTTCCAACAGTCTTGAAGGAGTTCCAACATATGCTGAACACTTGTTGGCTGCTTTTCCTTCACTCTGCTGTCCGATTCATCCCAAACCATCTCAATTGGGTTGAGGACGGGGATTGTGGAGGCCAGGTCATCTGATGCAGCACTCCATCACTCTCCTTCTTGGTAAAATAGCCCTTACACAGCATGGAGGGGAGTTGGGTCATTGTCCTGTTGAAAAACAAATGATAGTCCCACTAAGCCCAAACCAGATGGGATGGCGTATCGCTGCAGAATGCTGTGGTAGCCATGCTGGTTAAGTGTGCCTTGAATTCTAAATAAATCACAGACAGTGTCACCAGCAAAGCACCCCCACCCCATAGCACCTCCTCCTCCATGCTTTACGGTGGGAAATACACATGCGGAGATCATCCGTTCACCCACACCGCATCTCACAAAGACACGCGGTTGGAACCACAAATCTCCAATTTGGACTCCAGAACAAAGGACACATTTCCACCGGTCTATTGTCCATTGCTCATGTTTCTTGGCCCAAGCAGGTCTCTTCGTCTTATTGGTGTCCTTTAGTAGTGGTTTCTTTGCAGCAATTCAACCATGAAGGCCTGATTCACACAGTCCCCTCTGAACAGTTGATGTTGAGATGTGTCTCTTACTTGAACTCTGTGAAACATTTATTTGGGCTGCAATTTCTGAGGCTGGTAACTCTAATGAATTTATCCTCTGCAGCAGAGGTAACTCTGGGTCTTCCATTCCTGTGGCAGTCCTCATGAGAGCCAGTTAGTTTCATCATAGCACTTGATGGTTTTTGCGACTGCACTTGAATAAACTTTCAAAGTTCTTAAATTTTTCCGGGATTGACTGACCTTCATGTCTTAAAGTAATGATGGACTGTCGTTTCTCTTTGCTTATTTGAGCTGTTCTTGCCATAATATGGACTTGGTCCATACCTACCTTGTCACAACACAACTGATTGGCTCAAACACATTAAGAAGGAAATAAATTCCACAAGTTACATTTTAAGAAGGCACACCTGTTAATTGAAATGCAATCCAGGTGACTACCTCATGAAGCTGGTTGAGAGAATGCCAAGTGTGCAAAGCTGTCATCAAGGCAAAGGGCGGCTATTTGAAGAATCTCAAATATAAAATATATTTTGATTTCTTTTAACACTTTTTAGGTTACTACATGATTCCATATGTGTTATTTCATAGTTTTGATGTCTTCACTATTATTCTACAATGTAAAAATATAGAAAAACCCTTGAATGAGTAGGTGTGTCCAAACTTTTGACTGGTAGTGTATATTTATAAAAAATATATATGGGGGATTGGAAAAGATGCAGACAATTACATTGATAGAAGCCACAATCTATTTGCAAAATTAAAACTGATCCAAAAAAGTAACCCTGAGTTACCCTGATGTTAGCCATTATGTGTGTGTTCCAGAGGTGAGCTCGTGGATCATCTGTGACGGGGACATAGACCCAGAGTGGATCGAGTCGTTGAACTCTGTGTTGGACGACAACCGTCTGCTGACCATGCCCAGTGGAGAGAGGATTCAGTTTGGACCCAACATCAACTTTGTCTTCGAGACACACGACCTCAGCTGTGCCTCACCAGCCACAATCTCACGCATGGGCATGATTTTCCTCAGGTTGGTGTGTGTGTTTTGTGTGTGTGTGTGTGGTCCTTGATGGGTTAACCTACAGTCATTGTTCTAGTCGCGTTCTAACCCCCCGTCTTCTCTCTGTAGTGATGAGGACACAGATGTGAGTGCGTTGGTCAAGTCATGGCTGAAGGGTCAGCCTGATGAGTGTCGCAGTAACCTGGAGAACTGGATGGGAGACTACTTCCACAGAGGCCTGGACTGGGTGCTTAAACAGGTGATGCATACTGATACTGCCCTCTACTGGTCATAATCAATAGCATCAACTGGATTTATGTAGCAAAGTGGAGTTTTACCCGAAATATACTGTAGTGGATTGGATATTTTGTGTTCATAACTGTTACCCTTCTGACTCTCTCTCTCTCTCTCGCTCTCTGTCTGTCTGTCTGTCTGTCTGTCTGTCTGTCTGTCTGTCTGTCTGTCTGTCTGTCTGTCTGTCTGTCAGAATGACTTCGTGGTGGAGACCAGTCTGGTAGGGACGGTGTTGAACGGTCTGTCTCACCTGAGTGGGGTCACAGAGCGTGGTCAGTTTGTGGTTAGTCTCATCAGAGGGCTGGGCGGGAACCTCAACCTCAAATCACGACAGGACTTCGCCAAGGAGGTGAGACGAGGCGGTCAATCCATTCATCCATTCATCAGTCCATCCATACATTCATCCATCCATTTATTTACATTTTAGTCATTTAGCAGACGCTCTTATCCAGAGCGACTTACAGTTAGTGAGTGCTTGCCCCCCCCGTGGGAAACGAACCCACAACCCTGGCGTTGCAAGTGCCATGCTCTACCAACTGAGCTACAGGGGACTTATCCATCCATCCGTTTATCCATTTAGCCATCCATCCATCCGTTTATCCATTTAGCCATCCATCCATCCGTTTATCCATTTAGCCATCCATCCATCCGTTTATCCATTTAGCCATCCATCCATCCGTTTATCCATTTAGCCATCCATCCATCCGTTTATCCATTTAGCCATCCATCCATCCATTAATCAACTAATAAACGTCCTCATCATTATGTGCGTGTGCGTTCCCTGCAGGTGCTGGGCTGGGCTAGAGAGAGCCCTCCTGACCCGAGGAAGCCCCTGGACACCTACTATGACCCTGAGTCTGGTCGGCTGTGTGCGTACTCTCTGGAACGTCCTGACGGCCTCAGCCTGGAAGAGGTCACACACACTCACACACTCCCCGTCATCCAGACCCCCGACATGCAGAGAGGACTGCACTGCTTCTCCCACTGGCTCTCCTCCCAGCACAGACAACCCTTCATACTGGTGGGGCCTGAGGGCTGTGGCAAGGGGTAAACACACACACGGGATGTATAATACACTCTAGCCAGATCATGTACACACTCCTCTTACTATTCAGGGAGAATGGTATGACACACACTTATGTCTCCAGGCGTGTTTTATTTAAGGCGTGACCTTTCTTAGAATAGCACAGCGGACCGAGGGGCAGGCGGGGGGCAGAGACTTGTTGAATCTACAGTCATTATTGTCATCCCAGGGGCACGCAGTAGAGGGAGGGCATCTCTGATTGGCTTTTACGCTCCACTTGAGCCCCCCCCCCCCATGAAACACAAAAACACACACACTCTCACACACACACAACCCTAATCTCGCAGAAATGTCAGGGCGCCATGGAAACGCTTGTCATCCCTGTCTGATGAAAAAACATCTACTTAATTTCCACTGCTGCCCTCAGAGAAACACACACACACACACACACACACAAACACACATCCCAATTATCCTATCTCAGTTTGCACCCTCACAAAATGTCCCCCCCCCCCCTCGCCCTGAGCTTTGTCTCACAAACTCAGTTAAACAGACCCCTGCGGCATCAACAGTTTTCAATTCTCCTCTCTCCTCTCTTCTCCTCTCCTCTCTTTTCCTCTATCATCCTCTGATATCTAACCTCTGTCATGACTCATGTCCTCCTTCAATGTTATGGTCTGGCTTCTCTACTTGGCATTCAGCCTATGTTCTGTATGTGTGTGTTCTTCTCCAGTATGCTGCTGCGCTATGCGTTCTCTCGGCTGCGTTCCACCCAGGTAGCGGTGGTCCACTGTAGCGCCCAGACCTCGTCTCGTCACGTCCTCCAGAAGCTCAGTCAGACCTGCCTGCTGCTCAGTTCCAACACGGGCCGAGCCTACAGACCCAAAGACTGTGAGAACCTGGTCCTCTACCTCAAAGACATCAACCTGCCCAAGCCTGACAAGTGGGGCACCAGCAACCTCATCGCCTTCTTACAGCAGGTACACAATACACTACAATACATCACAGTACAATACATCACAGTACAATACAGTACAATACACTACATCACAGTACACTACATTTACATTTTAGTCATTTAGCAGACGCTCTTATCCAGAGCGACGTACAGTTAGTGAGTGCATACATTTTCGTACTGGGGAACGAACCCACAACCCTGGCGTTGCAAGCGCCATGCTCTACCAACTGAGCTACAGGGGACTATACAATACAGCACAGTACACTACAATACAGCACAGTACACTACAATATAGCACAGTACACTACAATATAGCACAGTACACTACAATACAGTACAATACAGTACACTACAATACAGTACACTACAATACAATACAGTACAATACAATACAGTACAATACACTAATAATAATAATAATAATAATACAACTAATAATTTCTTACATTTCTGTAGAGCTTTTCATAGAATCTCAAAGCACTTCAAGAGCAAAAAAACAAAGAAGCAATATATCAGGACAGGTCAACCAATAGAGGCCAAGCAGCGTCCTCTGAAGATGGAGAGGGTCAGTTCATGGCTTGAGCAAAGGGAGCTGGACAGAGGATGGTAGATGATGTTGATGGAGTCTGCTGATGATCTTGTAGAGGTCAAGTCAGGGAACCAGCCACTGGACTTCTCCTCTTCCACTCTGTGTAGCACCCACTTGGGTGGTGCCTCAGCAGCTCTGGGCGCCAGAAAGCTCACCACACAAAGTTGTTAATAGTAGCCAGGCGTCCTCACTACGAGCCTCAGCACTGCTGTTTTCCTCTAGCTCCCATTCCTCTCACACTTCAGGCGACCCCTCAAATTACTGTATGTTCTCAAAAGCTCAGGAATTGGCAGCCAGGTGAAACATAAAATATGTTATTGTGTCCAGATGCATTTTTCAAACAAATACTGTACAATGCAATACAACGCAACATAACGAAATCCAACTCAACTCAATGCAACACAATACTGAAAATACATTATTTCTTGATCGATGTGTAAGACAGAAATGAGTCAAGCTGTCATAACGTGACAAAGTTCTCCTCTCTCTCCCTTGTATGTTCTAGGTGCTGACGTACCATGGGTTCTATGATGAGAACCTGGAGTGGGTGGGTCTGGAGAACGTCCAGGTGGTGGCCTCCATGTCAGCAGGAGGCGCTGTGGGACGTCACACACTCACCTCCCGCTTCACCTCCATTGTGCGCATCTGCACCATAGAGTGAGTACGGACACACAGACACAGACCAGAGTATGTGAGCGGAGCTGGAGCGGAGCGAGGAGCGGATCGTTCCCAATTTGACTGGAGGGCGGAGAGAGATTCCCAAAGGCTGGAGCGTCATCCTTCTCTCCCGCTCCAACTTGGCTCCAGTAGCGCTCACTTCACCAGCTCAGGGCGTGCCTTCCCAGCATGCATTTGTAGTCTACTTGTGCTGCTATATTATAGCCCCTTGCTTTAGCTACTGTCATGGAGTTCGCTAAATATTTTCAGCAAGAAACTGATCAAACACACAGGTGCTCAATCAAGGTGACTTACAAAGATGAGGACCAAGAGCAAGAGAGGGAGTGTGGTGATGCAGTGTCCACAACTAAAGAATCATTGTGGAATCTGAAAAGGCACGTATCATGAAAGCATGATGGTGTACTTACTACGTGCACATGCTAACAGAAAGGAATGAGGTGGGTAGATAACTAAGTGTGTCATTGTAGCAAAGTATTTATAAATAAAAAATCAGATCTCTTAAACGTTTCATTTTCGTTCTATTATCTATACAATAGGCCATCATTGATTTTGGCCCAATAGGCCTGGCATTTTCCCACATTCAAGGAGCTTTCCGTTTTGATTGGGTTATTTTGCCTAAATTGCTTATTTCATTAATTATTTCAGTCATGTTGTCAGAAGATTCTGGGAGCAGCATTACACACTGTCCACTAACAGTTAGCCCCAATGCTGAGCAATATCCCCCTTGGTATGCCAATAGATAGTCTAAAGCCATTTCCTGACGAGCCACTACGGCTTTTAAGTTTTGTACATCAAGGGAGAGTTGGGTAAAGCCTTTGACAGTCAAATGAATGTGTGCCAGCAGAGAATAGTTATTCACCCACTTGGACAGGATAGCAACACCAACCCCTGGGAACAGTACCATTCCCACAATCTCCCCCGGTTTAAGAACATGACCATGAGCTTTATCATTATCAGGAACACTTCTTTTAGCTCTGGTCCTTTTAGTCATATTCTCTCTGGCCTCTAGCATGTCACGAAGGGGGATTGAGGTAATAGGGAGCTTAGTTTCTCCCAGATAACAACACCCCTGCCAGTTCAGCGGAAGCTGGAGGTATCCATTACCTCCACATATCCACATGTGCCCATGGGGAATCACCACTCCCATCCTGATAGTAGACATATTAATGCCAGTAATCTGCTGACCAAATTGTAAGATATGCCACTCAGTCATTTTGTGTCTGATTGTCTCATCTAGGAGTCCTGCATAGTTTTCCTATATGGACATTCCCTTAGTTACAGATGCATAGTGGTGGACTGTGCTGGTACTATCCCTGTCACCACAGGTTCTATAGTTCCTCTACCCAAATGAGTGGCCCATTGGTGTTTTTTGGGGGGGTAAGGGCACTCTGCTGCCTGATAGACTGTAATGTGGCTGCTGTCCTACCCCCTCCCATTTCCCCTGGTTGGCCGAAATGTAGATTCCTCATACCTAGTTTTGTTATCAGCTTTAATGTGTGGGACTTGTACATGGTTAGAGAGTCTCCCTAGGATAGTTTCTCTGTTACTATCCGTATTAGTGACAATATATAGAAATATGCCTTGTCCTTTGTTAACTTTATCTCATTGTATAAAGTGGAGATATCCATATGTAATATCGTCCTCTGATAGAGTTTTTTTCCATAGTACCAAATAGCTCACCCGCTGAAGAAGGTTTTGGGAGCATCATTATTCTGGACCCATTTGGTGTTGCCCTCCTACCCAGGCCCCGCAGCATATTAACCCAGGAATTGGTTGACTTCAATTGGTTGTTGTGTATTTCCACCCCGATACTGAGGAAGCAAGCGGAGCACAGATTATTACACATAACACAGCACATTCATGGCCCAGTGGATGTGGCTCACGGCCTCCCCTCCTCTCTCCATGGAGTCCATGCAGAACTGTTGAGTCTTCATCAGGTGGCAGGTTCTGGTCATTCTTCAGTCTTTTGGTGTTTGGTTCTTCACCTTCTGGCAGTGTGACAGGTGGTGCCATCCCTGTCTCTTGGTCACTCTGACAGCCGTCGGGGTAGCCTGGATCACTTGGTATGGTCCCATCCATCTTGGCTGGTTCCTTCAGTTTCACCCAGTCTCTGATTTGGACAGGGATGTTGTCTTTATCCTCTCCGGCTGGCACTTCCTGGGCTTTCCTAGAGTGAGAATACAGACACCTAACTGTAGAAGTTAGTTCCTCCATATATCCTAACAGGTCATCTTCCAGTCTAGTCAGGTCTGTCTGTTTGTCATTCATGGGCCTATGAGATGGGACATTCATGGGATGGCCTGTTAACATCTCATGAGGGCTATACCCAGTGCCTCTGTTGGGGCTGCTTCGCATTTTCATCAACCCAGGTTTTACCTGTCGAGTGATAGATACAGACACATTTCTGATCTATCCCCAGCATAAGGGCAATTTGGGCTATGACATCTCCAGTGAAATGGGTATTATTGTCTGCAGACAAGGTTTCTGGTATTTTGAATCTAGGGAATATTTTCCTTACCAGAATTTTAGCTACTGTTTTAGCATCACAGTGGGTAGTAGGAAATGCCTCATTATTACTAAACAGTAGTGCTTTCTCCTTTCTCTCAGTCATATCAATACAATCCATTGGAATATGTGTAAATGGGCCACTAGGTGAGGGGAAATTACCAGATTTAAGTGGTGTCCCCTTGTTAATGTTGTATTGTATGCACGTGACGCATTTAAAAATGTGTTGTTTCACATGTTCTGTTAAAATTTGGGCAAAACCAATCTTGTGAAATCTTGGTTACCATGTGCCATTTCGGCAAAACCGACGGGATAAGCTGTGTTGGCAACACAGGTTTACCTGAAAGGTGTTGTCTCCAGAGGCCATCAGGGCCCCTGGGAGCAACCTCTGGCCTCCCAAAGGGAGGGAGACGTGTGGTCAGTCGCCTGTTGGTTGTTGCAAATCAACAACAGGGGAGGCCACAGCAGAAGCCAGATACACAGCATGGGTGTGACACCTTGCAGCATTAGCTTTAGCAGCCATGACAGCAAGGTCATTTCCTTTACTGGCCTCATCTTGGTTACCCGTATGGGCCTGGACTTTAAGAATGGCCAATTTAGCAGGAAGTTTCATAGCCGAAATGAGAGCCAAAACGTAAGATTTGTTCTTAATAGGGGTCCCTGATGCATTGGTGAATCCTCTAGCCTTCCAAACACCTGCCCATGATAAACATACACCAATTGCGTTGGCAGAGTCTTGAGTAAATGTTAGCTGTTTTTCCCTCAGCAGCCTCACAAGCTGTGGTGAGAGCTAGTAACTCTGCTTGTTGTGCAGAGAAATGATCAGAGAGGGACTGCTCTATGTGTAGTGATTTATCTATAGTTCTTACAGCAAAAACCTGCATGTTTCCTTCCCGTCGTCTGATCAATGTAAGCCGACCCATCTACGAAAAGTGTCATGTCAGCCAACTCAAGAGGTTCATCAAATAGGTCAGGTCTTGCTTTTGCGTCAAGTTCTATTAGTTCAGGAAGTTCTATTAGTTCAGGAAGTTCTATTAGTTCAGGAAGTTCTATTAGTTCAGGAAGTTCTATTAGTTCAGGAAGTTCTATTAGTTCAGGACACACGTGTGGGGTTCCTTAGCCAGTTCCACCTCTGCCTCTTCTGAAGGCCCGGCTGTGGTTCCAACCTCCCTGGTCCACAGCAGTGGGGCACTGGTGTCTCATATGTCCAGCTATACCACATCCCCAGCAGACTATAGGCTCACCTGTGTGCCTGCTCTGGTAGGTTTGATAGGGCTGGAATGGCTGTGGATTACCATAAGGCTGTGGGGGAAACTGTACCTGTTGAGCTGGGGCCGCTGCAGGGGACCATGGTGGTGGGACAGACGTTGGAGCTGGTGCAGGTGCTGGAGCACTCAGCATCAATGTATCTGGCTTGCTACTTTTCTCTAGTGCAGCCAGTTGGGCCTTCTGGAGTTGTGTCTGCAGGCCTGTTTTCTTAGATTTTTTTTTTTCCGGTCTTCTTCCAGAACTTACAGTGGTGTCTCGTGGTCTTCTTTCTCAGGGCCATCTTTGCGGTCCCAGCCAACCACTTCTTTCAGTTTCAGTTGTACCGCTTCTGGTAGGTTTCTGCAGGCTCTGTCATAGAATAGTTATTCAGTGGTTAGGGTGTTATCATACCTTTCACCAGTCTCATTTCTTCTTGTTTCTTCATTCTCTCCACATCATGGTAGTATTTCTGTCGGAGCGCCAGCTCTTCAGCTGCTATTCTGTCTTCCATGTCTTGTCTGGCTCCTGGGGAGAAAGCACCTTCTGTGTCTCCTTCCCATCTTATCTTGTATTCGCTTTCTCTTCTCCGTCTTTCCTCTTCATCCTCTCTCTCTCTATCCCTTTGTCTTGCATCCTCTCTCTCAAACACTTCTTTATCTCTCTGTTTCCTTGCTTCACTTTCTTTCAGCCCCTCCCTCCTTTATTGTTCTCTTCTCCGGTCCTCTTGTTCTCCCATCACCGACCACCCTATCCTTACATACGGATACTTTGGCTTGGTAGCTGGGAGTGGTTTAGTTCTGGCATCCAGGCTTAGTTTATTCAGTTCAGCTGATAGTCTGGTTGCCACAGAGGGCCCTGACCCGGGGTTTGTGGAACTCTCTTCTCCCTCTTCGGTTTCTTCCAGGGTGCCCCTAATGATGACTGTTTTTGTTCTTTGCACAGTGCTGATATTATCTTATTCTTAAACAAACTTTAAGCTTTAGAAAATGACACAGACAACGGCTTCTGAGTATATGTAAAATATATTTAGTTATGCAACTGCAGGCAGAAGTTAATACAGAGTCAACAGGATTTGTATAGCTCTTCATAAGTTCTGCTTTTCATACAAGCACGCCCCTCCCTGGCAGATCAGGAGCCACTTGGTTTTCTTCTTGTGGCTGTGTGTAAGCAACGAGAAATTGAAACAATACAGGTCTGTCTGTTCCTCAAGTTTATCTCTATCCCGTGTCCTTGACTACACGCCCAGACCAGCTACAGGGAGCTAGAGTGAACCATCCTTATGAAAAGCACAGCACTGGTAGTTAAGAAATGTCTCTATTGTTAAGCATATTAATTGTTAAACAAATCAGGTAAATACGTGATCATTCTCTCACACTCCTGACCTCATTAGAGTGTTTATATGCTGTTTAATACGACATGTAGCCTATTTGAAATGATGAGCGCTTCTTCCATTCACCTTTTCACGTTTGTTATAATACTTTTCATTCAAATCATATGGTTTGGTTTTAATGCTTAAAAAACAATTGGTAGGTACAGGTAGTCACAGAAGTTGATGGGTGTTGGTTAAATTGTGATTTTAATGAATGGAGCGAATTTGGAGCGGCAGTTCTTTTACCCTGTGAACAAGGAACGGTTTTTAGCGGAGCGGTAGGAAATGACGTGGAGCGCCAGAGCGGAGCACAAGCACCATTAGCGATGAGCGGGATTTTCGACCGCTCAACTCCGCTCACATACTCAGACACAAACACACACACACACACACACACACACACACACACACACACACACACACACACACACACACACACACACACACACACACACACACATTCCCACTTGCTCTCTTCTCTAGTTATCCCAGACAGGGAGCAACTCCAGACCATCTACTCTGCGTACCTGCAGCCTGTTCTCCAGAGGAGCCTTGGGAGCCAGGCAGCCTGGGCCAGCACTGGGAAAACACACCAGCTAGCAGGGTCTCTGGTACAGGTCTACGAACAGGTGTGTGTGTGTGTGTCTGTGCTGTCTCAGATGAGTTCATGTGTTATCAGAGTAAAGCTTCAGCTTTAAGCTGCTCTAATCTTTCCAAGCAGCAGCTTTAGATTAGACTGCTCTTATCCAGCACTTACTTAATGCCTCTTATATCTAATCCGCACTCTTAGGGAAGCAAATCTAAACCACACACACACACAAACACAAACAATACAGCCACTTATTACACGGGTGTGTGTGTGTGGTTTAGATTTGCTTCCCTAAGAGTGCGGATTAGATATAACTTCTTATATACCTCTCTGGTCTCAGGTGAAGGCTAAGTTCACTGTGGATGACCACAGCCACTACCTGTTCACTCCGTGTGTCCTCACCCAGTGGGTGCTCAGCCTGCTGCGATACGACCTGACCGCAGGTGAGTCAACCACAACAGCACGGTCAAACCACGTGGTCAGATCACACCTCACACCACTGCCTCTACTTCCACTCTCTCACAGTCCACTGGGACCTATAGTCAGATCACAGGGTTAAATCACACGGTCAGACCGCAATCAGTACACAAGGGTTTCCCAAACTAGGGGTCGCCTGATTTGAAAATGGGTTCGTGAGAGAAAATGTGCGCTTGGTTCATAGAACCGGGGTTACGTCAGTAACCTTCGGTAGCCGCTAGATGCGGTTGTAATAAACAGAGCGGTTTCTGTTTTTCTTCTTACAAATGTGTCTCTGTCTTTTGAATGGTTTAAGCTACAAAATATTATGACCCCATCACTGAAAGATTAGACTCTCAGGAACACATACAGTGCATTCAGAAAGTACCCTTTGACTTTTTCCACATTTTGTTACGATACAGCCTTGTTTTTTCCCCTCATCAATCTACACACAATACCCCATAATGACAAAGCAAAAACAGGTTTTTAGAAATGTTTGCAAATGTATTAAAAACATCAAACTGAAATATTACATTTACATAAGTATTCAGATCCTTTACTCAGTACTTTGTTGAAGCACCTTTGGCAGCGATTACATCCTCAAGTATTTTTGGGTATGACGCTACAAGCTTGGCACACCTGTATTTGGGGAGTTTCTCCCATTCTTCTCTGCAGAGCCTCTCAAGCTCTGTCAGGTTGGATGGGGAGCGTCGCTGCACAGCTATTTTCAGGCCTCAACAGAGATGTTCGATCGGGTTCAAGTCCGGGCTCTGGCATGCCACTCAAGGACATTCAGAGACTTGTCCTGAAGCCACTCCTGCATTGTCTTGGCTGTGTGCTTAGGGTCTTTGTCCTGTTGGAAGGTGAACCTTCACCCCAGTCTGAGGTCCTAAGCGCTCTGGAGCATCAAGGATCTCTCTGTTCTTTGCTCCATTCATCTTTCCCACGATCCTGACTAGTCTCCCAGTCCCTGCCGCTGAAAAACATCACGACAGCATGATGCTGCCACCACCATGCTTCACTGTAGGGATGGTGCCAAGTTTCCCCCAGACATGACGCTTGGCATTCAGGCCAAAGAGTTCAATCTTGGTTTCATCAGACCAGAAAATGTTTTTTTTATGGTCTGAGAGTCCTTTAGGGGCCTTTTGGCAAACTCCAAGCGGGCTGTCATATGCCTTTTACTGAGGAGTGGCTTCTGATTGGTGGAGTGCTGCAGAGATGGTTGTCCTTCTGGAAGGTTCTCCCATGTCCACAGAGGAACTCTAGAACTCTGTCAGAGTGACCATCGGGTTCTTGGTCACCTCCCTGGTTCTCCCCTGATTGCTCAGTTTGGCCGGGCGGACAGCTCTAGGAAGAGTATTGGTGGTTCCAAACGTCTTCCATTTGATGGAGGCCACTGTGTTCTTGGAGACCTTCAATGCTGCAGAATGTTTTTGGTACCCTTCCCCAGATCTGTGCCTCGACACAATCCTGTCTCAGGGATCTACGGACAATTCCTTCGACCTCATGGTTTGGTTTTTGCTCTGACATGCACTGTCAACTGTGGGACCTTATATAGACAGATATGTGCCTTTCCAAATCATGTCCAATCAATTGAATTTACCACAGGTGGACTTCAATCAAGTTGTAGAAACATCTCAAGGATGATCAATGGAAACAGGATGCACCTGAGCTCAATTTCGAGTCTCATAGCAAAGGGTCTGAATACTTATGTAAATAAGGTATTTCTGTTTTTTATGTTTTATACATTTGAAACAATTTATAAGAACCTGTTTTCGGTTCGTCATCATGGGATATTGTGTGTAGATTGATGAGGAAAAACATGTATTTAATCAATTTTAGAATAATGCTGTAACGTAACAAAATGTGGAAAAAGGGAAGGGGTCTGAATACTTTCCGAATGCACTGTATGTGGAGTACCAGTCAAAAGTTTGGACACACCTACTCATTCCAGGGTTGTTCTTTATTTTTACTATTTTCTACATTCTAGAATAATAGTGAAGACATCAAAACTATGAAATAACACATATGGAATGTTCAACAAATCAAAATATATTTTATATTTGAGATTCTTCAAATAGCCACCCTTTGCGTTGATGACAGCTTTGCACACTATTGGCATTCTCTCAACCAGTTTAATGAGGTAGTCACCTGGAATTCATTTCAATTAACAGGTGTGCCTTGTTAAAAGTTAATTTGTGGAATTTCTTTCCTTCTTAATGCGTTTGAGCCAATCAGTTGTGTTGTGACAAGGTAGGGGGGGGGTATACAGAAGATAGCCCTATTTGGTAAAAGACCAAGTCCATATTATGGCAAGAACAGCTCAAATAAGCAAAGAGAAACGACAGTCCATCATTACTTTAAGACATGAAGGTCAGTCAATACGGAAGATTTCAAGAAGTTTGAAAGTTTCTTCAAGTGCAGTCGCAAAAACCATCAAGCGCTATGATGGAACTGGCTCTCATGAGGACCGCCACAGGAATGGAAGACCCAGAGTTACCTCTGCTGCAGAGGATATGTTCATTAGAGTTACCAGCCTTAGAAATTGCAGCCCAAATAAATGCTTCACAGAGTTCAAGTAACAGACACATCTCAACATCAACTGTTCAGAGGAGACTGTGTGAAACAGGCCTTCATGGTCGAATTGCTGCAAAGAAACCACTACTAAATGACACCAATAAGAAGAAGAGACCTGCTTGGGCCAAGAAACACGAGCAATGATCATTGGACCGGTGGAAATGTGTCCTAATTGGAGATTTTTGGTTCCAACCGCTGTGTCTTTGTGAGATGCGTTGTGGGTGAACGGATGATCTCCGCATGTGTATTTCCCACCGTAAAGCATGGAGGAGGAGGTGTTATGGTGTGGGGGTTCTTTGCTGGTGACACTGTCTGTGATTTATTTAGAATTCAAGGCACACATAACCAGCATGGCTACCACAGCATTCTGCAGCGATACTCCATCCTATCTGGTTTGCGCATAGTGGGGCTATCATTGTTTTTTCAACAGGACAATGACCCAACTCCCCTCCATGCTGTGTAAGGGCTATTTGACCAAGAAGGAGAGTGATGGAGTGCTCCATCAGATGACTTGGCCTCCTCAATCCCCCGACCTCAACCCAATTGAGTTGTTTTGGGATGAGTTGGACCGCAGAGTGAAGGAAAAGCAGCCAACAAGTGTTCAGCATATGTGGGAACTCCTTCAAGACTGTTGGAAAAGCATTCCAGGTGAAGCTGGTTGAGAGAATGCCAAGTGTGCAATGCTGTCATGAAGGCAAAGGGTGGCTATTTGAAGAATCTTAAATCTCAGATATATTTTGATTTGTTTAACACTTTTTTAGTTACTACATGATTCCATATGTGTTATTTCATAGTTTTGATGTCTTCACTATTATTCTACAATGTAAATAATAGGACAAATAAAGAAAAACCCTTGAATGAGTAGGTGTGTCCAATCTTTTGACTGGTAGTGTACATCCTGTTTCCCTCTACTATGCCCACAAGCCGTTAGAACCTAGTGGACAAGACCAGGCACCAAATCAGACCGAGGGAAAAAGATCATCATCAACATTATTGCCTGATGATCTTCTGAACTTCCCAATACCTTTCTGATGCATTTCAGTCACTTCAAACCATACTGTCTTCAGATTTAATTACTCTCTAAAATACTGTCAGACTGATTTTGTAATAGACTGTCATAGCCCAAATAAACATTGGCCAAAATGGGGTTGAGGGGCCAAAAAAGTTTGGGAACACTTGCACTACACCAGGGTTCTTCAATTCCGGTCCTGGAGGGCCGAAACACCTCTGTTTTTCATCCTCTCCTTCTAATCAGGGGCTAATTCAGACCTGGGACACCAGGTGAGTGCAATTAACTACCAGGTAGAAATAAAAAACAGAAGTGTTTCGGCCCTCCAGGACCGGAATTGAAGAACCCTGCACTACACCATCTTTTTGGGACCCATTTTGAGTTGTCACCAAAAAGTTTAATATCTTTCTGCAATACTTAAAACTGCTAATTGCATGGGTTTTCTCGGTTGTTGCCGACTTCTCATTATTTGGTAACTGTCTTAACTTTAGACTGTACTGTTTAATTCTAGCTGCTGTTGGATATTTCAGAATATCCTCTGAAAGTCAGTAGTTCTCTTCCTCTCCCTGCCTCCTGCATTCACCATCACTTTCATCCTCTCTCCCTCTCTCCCCTGTTCTGCTGCCTCTGTCACCCGTCTCTTTCTCTTTCATCATCCTCTTCTCTCTGTCCTCCTTCATCTCTCCCTCTGTCACTCCCTCCCTCCCTCCTGCAATGTGTTCTCCCTGTGATAGGGAGTCCAATCAGTAATTTTAATTAAAAGCGTTTGCTGACAAACTTCTTTTTTTTTTCCCACGACTCATCGTTTCTTTACTCTACTCTCTCTGCCCCTCCCTCGTCCTGCTTACCTTTTCTACACGGTATGTCACAATGCCCTCTCTCATCACTTAAACTCTCTTCTCTGGTGTGTGAGTGTGTGTACACTGAGCTGTTTGGATGCCGTGTGTCTTTTTGTAGTATGGTCTAATGTAGTAGTGTACACCGAGTGTACTAAACATTAAGAACACCTGATTTTTCCATGACATACTGACCAGGTGAATCCAGGTGAACGCTATGATCCCTTATTGATGTCACATGTTAAATCCACTTTAGTCAGTGTAGATGAACGGGAGGAGACAGATTGAAGAAGGATTTTTAAGCCTTGAGACAATTAAGACATGGATTGTGTATGTACGCCATTCAGAGGGTGAATGGGCAAGACAAAAGATTTAGGTGCCTTTGAACGGGGTATGGTAGTAGGTGCCAGGCGCACCGGTTTATGCCAAGAACTGCAGCGCTGCTGGGTTTTTCACGCTCAACAGCTTCCCGTGTGTATCAAGAATGGTCCACCGCCCAAAGGACATCCAGCCAACTTGACATAACTGTGGGAAGCACTGGAGTCATATTAGGAAGGTGTTCTTAATGTTTTGTCCACTCAGTGTATATGTGTGTGTGTGTGTATTAACCCCTCCTCTCTGTGTCTGTAGGGAACCGTAATATAACAGACTCAGTGCTGGAGGTGGTAGCCTATGAGGCCAGGAGGCTGTTCAGAGACCGACTGGTCTCCTCCAAAGACATCCACTCCTTCGACAACATCCTCTCCTCCGTCATACGAGGGGACTGGGGCTCCGACGCACTGGACAACATGACAGGTAACACACACACACACACATCTCAGTGCTCCTCTCCCTCTGCACAGTGTGTGTGTAAACCAGGATGACAGCGGGTTCTCTGTAGTTGGGTTCTCTGTGAAACGGGTTCTGTGTGTACGGTCTTGTCCTGTAAATGGGCTCTATGTAACGTGGGGTTAGTGTGTGTGGGGGTGTGGGGGTGTGTGGTGTGTGTGGGGATTGGGTGGGTGTGTGGTGTGGATTGGTGTGTGGTGTGTGTGTGGTGGATTGGTGTGTGTGTTGTGTGGATTGTGGGTGTGTGTGTGTGTGTGGTGTGTGGTGTGGATTGGTGTGTGTGTGTGGGTGTGGTTGGGTGTGTGTGTGTGTGGTTGGTTGTGGTGTGTGTGTGGATTTGGTGGTGTGTGTGTGTGTGTGTGTGTGTGTGTGTGTGGATTTTTGGTGGTGTGTGTGGTGGATTGGTGTGTGTGTGTGTGTGTGGATTGGTGTGTGTGTGTGTGTGTTGGTGTGTGGTTGTGTGTTGTTGCGTGTGTTTTGTGTTGGGTGTGTTTGGGTTGGGGTGTGGGGAGTGTGTTGTTCTGTGGTGGTGTTTGTGGATTGTTGCTTGTGTGTGGGTTGGTTGTGTGTGTGTGTTGTATTGTGTGTGTGGAGTTGGGTGTGTGTGTGTGTTTGTGTTGTTTGTGTGTGTGTGTTTGTGTGTGTGTAGGATGTGTGTATAACTGTATTATCCCTGCAGATGGTTTTCTATGTGACGTGGGGGTGCGTCTGAGGGAGGGGGCGGTGATGGCCCCTGGTCAATCCCTGCCCCTCCACGGTAAATCTCTGGGGACTCCTCGACTTTGCCGACCTAAGCCAGGTCATACACAAGGTCAGTGGTGTGTTTGTATTGTGTAGGACAGGGAGAGAGTGTGAGTGTGTGTGTGTGTGTGTTTGTGTGTGTGTGTTAATGCATCTCTCTCCTCTGTAGGGAGCGGTCCTGTATGGTCGTGACAACAGGGAGTTGGACCTGCTTGTTGTTCTGGGAGGGGTGTTCACTTTGTGTCTCGTGTGGGACCGTTGTCCTGAGTCGACCGGGGGGCTCTCTGCTCCTAGCCGGACGCAGCGGCGTGGGCCGACGCACCGCCACATGCCTGGTCTCACACATGCATGGATACACACTCTACACACCCAAGATCTCCCGGGATACTCACTCAAACACTTCAACAACGACCTGAAGGACCGTAAGATGCCATACCTCTTTCTCTGTTATGTCATTTTTTGGATGCTTGTTAACAAAAAGTTTCAGTGGGCAAGGGTTCACCTATATTCATTTAGAGAGGCATGCTGTGACATTGACTCATGGTTATAACTTTTAAGGGAGAAAACCTGATTTCAGTGGTTTAATGTAAACTGAAAAGCCAGGAGTAAAGTATGAGAAAAGAATCACCAGAAGTGACTTTATATCGTTTTATAAGATTCAGGTTTTAGGGCAGTCATTTGTATGTATTGAGTCCCACTTCGAAGCTAGAAAATGGCGATAAACACTACGGACAAATGGTAGAATTGTGGAAAGTGCTTTGAAAAACAACACATGTCCTCTGCCCATGCAAAATGTACGAATTGCACGGTTAGCTAGTTTTAAACGGAAATGTGTGTGTGTCTCTTGGCCAGAGGATGAGGCTCATCTAACAGATGGTTCAGTTGATGTGAGGACGCATTTGTGATGCCACTGCCAGCCTCCAACAGATGCGTCAACCTGCCTAAGAGCTCCCATTGTTGATTAGAAAAATACACCAGTCATGATGAATACAGTACCATAGATCAGATTGTGAATTTTAGTATTCAGTTCAGTGAGGGTGTTTCAATTGCAGATGACTAGTTGCTTCAACGTATGGATCAGTGTTAAAGTCTGCTATGAGAATCAGTTGTGGCTACCGGTTAACTTTTAAATGAAATATTTTATGATGGTTGTAACAGTATTTAATCTGTATTCGATTTAGGGTTAGATGTCGTTTTAAGAAAAGGTCAGGCCAGAAGGCCTTCTCGACTGAGATCGTTAAAAAAAAATGTAGGGTAGGTGCATCCACCGACCCCAGAAGCTGGACCCCCCAACTTTACCACGCTCAAAGAAATCCTAGAGGGAAACACTGTTCATGGAACCCCAAAACGCTAGGAGAACACAAGCTACTCATCAGGGAACATCATAATTAAATGATTGTGTTTAACCTATTATAGGAGTCGTTAGGAACAAATTCTACTTCGAATGAGGTGACCAATGGCAAGGTCTGCGAGGGCACGGTGGATGCTTCTAGAAAGAGAATAAAATATAGGCACCAACACTCACGAGAGAGCACCAAACACTACTCAAAGAGTAGCACACCAAAACTACATAAGAGAGACACACAACATAGCATAAAGAGAGACACACAACACATTACATAAGACAGCACAACATACATAGGACACCAACACTACATAAAGAGAGACACCAACTATAGAGAGCACACACTACATAGAGACACACAACACTTAAAAAATAAGAGAGGAACCAACACTACATAAGAGGTAGACACCAAACATTAATAGGAGACACAACTACACATAAGAGAGACACCTACATAAAGAGAGACCTCAAAGACCATACATAGATGGCCAACACTAGATGAGACCCACAACATGGTGAACACGTACATAGAGCACAGTACATGTGTGTTGTAGCAACACTAATAAGGAGCCAGCCACAACATAGGCATGAGCAACACCACACATGAACACCACCATAAGAGAGGACCTACAACAACATACAAAGAGAGACACACAACACTACAAAAGGAGACAAAAATGACCACAAGCACAACAATGACACACTACTGCATGGCAGCAACAACATGCCATTACAAAACATGTACAAAGCATTATTGGAGCCAGACGACAGCACAAAGGCAACAATGACAATAACATGGAGCACTCAACAAAACATGGTAGCAACAGCATTACAAAACATGTACACATTATTGGGCACAGACGACAGCACAAAGGGCAAGAAGGTGTACATCACGCGAAGCATCCACACTGAGTGTGTCCATGATTGAGTCTTTGAATGAAGAGATGGGATAAAACTGTCCAGTTTGAGTGTTTTTTGCAGCTCATTCCAGTCGCTAGCTGCAGCGAACTGAAAAGAGGAGCGGAAATTTTAGTAATTTAGCAGGCGCTCTTATCCAGAGCGACTTACAGGAGCAATTAGGGTTAAGTGTCTTGCTCAAGGGCACATCGACCGATCTACACATCCTCTGTTCTCTCATCTCCCTCTCTCCCCTCCTCTCCCTTCATCCCTCTCCTCCCCCATGTTTATTGTGATGCTGTGTTTGTTCTGTAGATACTGCAGGATCAGATCAATAGATGTCTCTTCCGTCTGAGTTCCTCTGACTAAACTACTGGCCTTTCAGCTGGGGGGTAAATGGACAAGGACAGCATTACACCAGCCATTACCCACTCTCTTTATCTTTGTTTCTTTCTCTTTGTGTCTCTCCCTCTTCATCTTCATCTCCATCTTTCTCTCTCTCTCTCTCTCTCTCACTCTCTGTCTCTCTCTCTCTCCTCTCTCTCTCTCTCTCTCTCTCTCTCCTCTCTCTCTCTCTCTCTCTCTCTCTCTCTCTCTCTCTCTCTCTCTCTCTCTCTCTCTCTCTCTCAGGGATCCAGCAGAACCTACACATAGTGTTGATCATGGACTGCACCAACTCTAACTTCACCATTAGCTGTGAGAGCAACCCGGCTCTCTACCGCAAGTGTTCCGTCCAGTGGATGGAGGGATGGTCTGAGAGCAGCATGAAGAGGGTGAGAGGAGAGGAGAGGAGAGGAGAGGAGAGGAGAGGAGAGGAGAGGAGAGGAGAGGAGAGGAGAGGAGAGGAGAGGAGAGGAGAGGGGGATGGGAGCACAGCATCATACGGGGTTATAATATTGTGATTAGCTCTGTCCTCCTTCTTCATAACCCATGTTGATGCTCTCCTGTCAGATCCCTGAGATGCTGCTGGCTAAGGTGGAGGGAAAGGGGGAGAAGAGTGGAGGAGAGAAAGGCCACAAGAGAAAAGGTTCAGGTAGGAGAAAACATCCCTGCCACCAGAGTCCTAGTCAGTCATAGTCCTACTATAGAGAACTAGCTCTAAACTGAATATGTTCTGTCTCGTTTGTGTTGTCCCTCCCAGCGTCGGGTCAGGGTGATCTGTGTCGCTCCTTCCTGGTGATCCATGAGTCTTGTAGAGAGTATGGAGCCACACCCAGTCAGTACATGGCCTTCCTCCACGTCTACACCTCCATTTACAGCAGCAAACAGAGCCAGCTCACTCTCAGACAGCAACACCTACAGGTAACACACACACACCATACACACACACCATATACACACACTTAGCATTCACTTAGCACTCACACACAAACTCCCTGCAGCTGTGCATATGCAGATGTACAGAACCAGTCAAACGTTTGGACACACCTACTCATTCAAGGGTTTTTCTTTATTTTTACTATTTTCTACATTGTAGAATAATAGTGAATACATCAAAACTATGAAATAACACATATGGAATCATGTAGTAACCAAAAAAGTGTTAAACAAAAACAGCCACCCTTTGCCTTGATGACAGCTTTGCACACTCTTGGCATTCTCTCAACCAGCTTCACCTGGAATGCTTTTCCAACCGTCTTGAAGGAGTTCCCACATATGCTGAGCACTTGTTGGCTGCTTTTCCAGGTTATTGTGGAGGCCAGGTCATCTGATGCAGCACTCCATCACTCTCCTTCTTGCTCAAATAGCCCTTACACAGCCTGGAGGGGAGTTGGGTCATTGTCCTGTTGAAAAAACAATGAATTCTAAATAAATCACAGACAGTGTCACCAGCAAAGCACCGTCACACCTCCTCCTCCATGCTTTACGGTGGGAACCACACATGCAGAAATTATCCGTTCACCTACTTTGCATCTCACAAAGACACGGCGGTTGGAACCAAACATTTCCAATTTGGACTCATCAGACCAAAGGACAGATTTCCACTGGTCTAATGTCCATTGCTCGTGTTTGTTGGCCCAAGCAAGTCTCTTCTTCTTATTGGTGTCCTTTAGTAGTGGTTTCTTTCCAGCAATTCGACCATGAAGGCCTGATTCACGCAGTCTCATCTGAACAGTTGCTGTTGAGATGTGTCTGTTACTTGAACTCTGAAGCATTTATTTGGGCTGCAATTTCTGAGGCTGGTAACTCTAATGAACTTATCCTCTGCAGCAGAGGTAACTCTGGGTCTTCCATTCCTGTGGCGGTCCTCATGAGAGCCAGTTTCATCATAGCGCTTGATGGTTTTTGCGACTGCACTTGAAGAAACTTTCAAAGTTCTTGAAATGTTCCATATTGACTGACCTTCATGTCTAAAAGTAATGATGGACTGTCGTTTCTCTATGCTTATTTGAGCTGTTCTTGCCATAATATGGACTTGGTCTTTTACCAAATAGGGCTATCTTCTGTATACCCCCCTACCTTGTCACAACACAACTGATTGGCTCAAACGCATTAAGAAGGAAAGAAATTCCACAAATTAACTTTTAACAAGGCACACCTGTTAATTGAAATGCATTCCAGGTGACTACCTCATGAAACTGGTTGAGAGAATGCCAAGAGTGTGCAAAGCTGTCATCAAGGCAAAGGGTGGCTATTTGAAGAATCTCAAATGTAAAATATATTTTGATTTGTTTAACACTTTTTTGGTTACTACATGATTCCATATGTGTTATTTCATAGTTTTGATGTCTTCACTATTATTCTACTATGTAGAAAATAGTAAAAATAAAGAAAAACCCTTGAATGAGTAGGTGTGTCCAAACTTTTGACTGGTACTGTATGTGTTAACTGTAACTTGTTTTGGATGAAACAGTCTGCTGAAAGAACGTATTCTCATATCATGAGACCTAATTGTGACATCTGATGTGATTGGCTTCCCCCCCCCCCCCAGGCGGGCGTGTCTAAGCTGAACGAAGCGAAGGCGTTGGTGGATGAGCTGAAGAGGCGGGCCGCTGAGCAGAGCACTCTGCTGAGGACCAAACAGCAGGAGGCAGACTCAGCCCTGCAGGAGATCACCACCTCTATGCAGGTGTGTGTGTGTGTGTGTGTGTGTGTGTGTGGGCCGGGGTGAGTTGAGCATTGGAGTGTGCCTGTACATTTGTGTATAGTTGTTTCTCTGAGCATGAGCTGTCTTTGTGCGTACGTGTGTGTGTGTGGAGCGTGACGAGTCTCTTTTGACACCTCTTTTAGCCTGCGGTGGACAGGCCTGGTTGTCCGATTCGCCAAGCCGTTTCCGTGACAACTGCTGAGCAGATTCTAATAACAGCTCCTTTCAGTCTCTCTCTCTCTCTCTCTCTCTCTCTCATCTCTCTCTCTCATCTCCTCTCTCTCTCTCTCTCTCTCTCTCTCTCTCTCTCTCTCTCCTCTCTCTCTCCTATGTCTCTCTCTCTCTCTCTCTGATCGTCTTCCTCTCTCTCTGTCTCTCCTCTCTCTGTCTTCTCTCATCCTATGGGGTCCTCTCTCTCTATGTCTCTCTCTCTAGTCTCTGTCTCTCCTCTCTCTCTCTCTCTCTAATGTCTCTCTCTCCTCTCTCTCTGTCTCTCTCTATGTCTCTGTCTCGTCTCTTCTGTCTCTCTTTCTCTATATCTATGGTCTCTCTCCTCTAGTCTCTGTCTCTCTCTCTGTCTGTCTCTCTGTCTTGTCTCTATGTCTGTCTCTCTCTCTCGCTCTCTTCTAGGTCTCTGTCTCTGTCTATCTCTGTCTCTCACTGTCTCTGCATACTCTCGCTCTCTCGCTGTTCTTCTGTCTCTGTTCTCTTCTGTGGCTCTCTCTGTCTTCTTCGTCTCTCTGTCTCTCGTATCTCTGTATCTGTTCTATGTCTCTCTCCTCTCTCCTCTTCCTCTCTCTCCTCTCTCTTCTCTCTCTTATTCTCTCTCTGTCTCTGTCAGTATTCTCTGTCTGGTCTCTCTTGTCTCTGTCTCTCTCTCCTGTCTCTCTCATCTCTCTTCTCTCTATCAACTGTCTCTCGTCTCTGTATCTCTCTATCTCTCTCTCTCTCTCCTCTCTCTCGCTCTCCCTCTCTCTCTCTCGCTGTCTTCTGTCTCTGTCTCCGGTCTCGCTCTCTCCTCTTCTTTCTACACACACTTTCTCTGTCTCGGACAGCTATTCATTTTTCCCTCCCTAATCACCCCTGATGTCATTAAGCCCACTGGCATGGCCCGCAGCCTCAGATTTCCCGGAGATGTGTTTGTGTGTGTGTGTCTGGGATGGCCTGGTGATGTGGCAGTGATAGAATGGGACAGGGTCACACAGGGACTTTCCACTCCTCAGGCTAAGGTACCTATGCCCCTTATCTCTACTGCGCGCTATAACCGATGGTGTGAGTCTGTGTCCTAATACTCATAGCTACTGTTTTCTTGTCTTCTCCCTGATGGGAGATGGATGGGGAAAGCTCTGCTCATTAGTGGAGATATCTGCCCCCCCCCCCCCTCTCTCTCTCAGTCACAGAGATGGAGGGAGAGCGAAAGGAGGGAGGGACAGCATTTGAGCCTGTCAGTGGATGAGGGGGGATGTGAGTTTCGAGGGAGTGATAATTAGGAGGCAGATGCGGTCCTGTGGGCAGGAAAACTCGCGCATGAAGCTGCAGACAGGAGACAGGGAGTTGGAGGGGCGGGAGGGATGGGGTACCGGTGTGGAGTGGAGGGGAGGTGGAGGGATGGGGTGGTGGTGGAGGGCGAACGTGGAGGGATGGGGTGGTGGAGGCCGGACGGGGAGGATGGGTGGTGGAGGGGAGGGGGGAGGATGGCGGAGGTGCGAGGGGAAGGTGGGAGGGAGGGGAGGTGGAGGTGGAGGGATGGGGCGGAAGGAGGAGGGGATGGTGGGATGGAGGTGGTGGAGGAGGGGAGGTGGAGGGGAGTGAGGGGAGGGGATGGGGAGGCCGGTGGGGAGGGAGGTGGAGGGATGGGGTGGTGGAGGGGAATGTGGGAGGAGGAGGGCAGGGGGAACGGTGGAGGGGGCAGGTGGAGGGGAGGTGGAGGTAGGAGGTGGATGGTGGAGGGAGGGGGGGAGGAGGGGAGGTTGGGATGGCGGTGGTGGTGGAGGGATTGGGCGGCGGGGGAGGAGGGGAGGTGGAGGGGAGTTGGAGGGGAGGAGGGATGGGGACCGGTGGTGGCAGGGGAGGGGGAGGGATGGAGGTGGGGAGGGATGGAGGGGAGTGAGGGATGGGGAGGATCGGTGAGGGAAGGTGGGAGGGATGGGGAGGTGGAGGTGGCTAGGGATGGGGAGGAGGAGGGGAGGTGGGATGGGGGGTGGAGGGGACGGTGAGGGATGGGGTGGGTGGAGGAGGGGAGGTGGAGGGGAGTTGGAGGGGAGGAGGGATGGGGTGGTGGGGGGGGGTGGGAGGGATTGGGGTGGTGGAGGGGATGTGGAGGGATGGAGGGACGGTGGAGGATGTGGAGGAGGTGGAGGGATGGGGAGGAGGGAGAGGGAGAGGGGAGGTGGAGGGTATGGGGAGGAGGTGGAGGGGAGGGGGAGGGGGGTAGGGAGGTGGAGGAGGAGGAGGGGAGAGGGGGGAGGGATGGAGGAGGTGGGGAGGGATGGGGAGGGAGGGGAGTGGAGGGAAGATGGGGAGGAGGATGGAGGGATGGAGGGGAGGTGGGGGTGTGGAGGAGGTGGAGGGATGGGGAGGAGGTGAGGGATGGTAGGGAGGTCGGAGGGGATGGGGAGGAGGTTGGAGGGGAGGTGGATGGATGGCGAGGAGGTGGAGGGTTGCGAGGGGGAGGTGAAGGGATGGGAGGAGTGGAGGGGAGGGAAGGGCTGGGGAGGAGGAGGGAGGGGAGGTGGAGGGGAGATGGAGGGATGGGGAGGAGGAGAGGAGGAGGGAGGTGGAGGGGGATGGGGAGGAGGTGTGGGATGGGAGAGGATGGGGAGGGTGTGGAGGGATGGGGGGAGGTGGAGGGATGGGAGGAGGTGGAGGAGGGGAGGTGGTAGAAAGTGATGATTTTTTATTCGAGACTTTTCATTACATCAGTCTCCCTCCCTCTATGCGCCTCTTTCATTAATGTTTCACCTGAACAAGAATGGACTATAATCACTTCCTCACCCCCCTCCCCTCTCTGCTCTGCGTTTCCGTGAATGCAGTGACCAGAAGACTGAGAGGAGAAAAATCAAGGGAGAATGCTCAGGCGGGGTCTAAGTGTGAGAGAGGGAAGGGAAATAGACGGACGAGCTGAGAGAGTGCAGGTGAAAAAGATCCCTACAGCACCAACACATTGTCCCACATTCACATCTCTGAATGATCTGTGTTTTTAGATGTTGTTGTACTCTGTTGTTTAGCTGTTGTTCAGTGTTGTTTAGCTGTTGTTTCAGCTGTTGTTTTAGCTGGTGTTTCAGCTGTGTTTTAGCTGTTGTTTTACCTGTGTTTCAGCCGTTTGTTTTAGCTGTTGTTTTAGCTGTTGTTTCAGCTGTTGTTTTCAGCTGTGTTTCAGCTGTTGTTTCTTTTAGCTATTGTTCAGCTGTTGTTTTAGCTGTAATTGTAGTGGTTGTTTAGCAGTTGCTTAAGCGTTGTTTACCTGTTGTTTTAGCTGTTGTTTTAACTGTTGTTTTAGCTGTGTTTTACCTGTTGTTTTAGCATGTGTTTAGCTGTTGTTTTACTCTGTTATTTAGATGTTGGTTCTTGTTTACCTAGGTTGTTTCAACTGTTGTTTTAGCTGTTGTTTTAGCTGTTGTTTTACTGTGTTCTAGCCTGTTGTTTTAGCTGTTGTTTACCTGTTGTTTTAGCGGTGTTTTAGCTGTTGTTTACCTCTGTTATTTTCGCTGGTGTTTCTGTTTTACCTTGTTGTTTCAGTGTTGTTTCAGCTGGTTGTTTTAGTGTTGTTTTCAGCTGTTGTTTCAGCTATTGTTTCAGCTGTTGTTTTACTGTTGTTTCAGCTATTGTTCAGCGTCGTTTTAGCCTGAGAGTTTTAGCTGTGCTTTAACTCGTTATTTTAGCTGTTGTTTCTGTTGTACCTCTTCTTCTCTCTTTTTTCTCTTCTCTCTCTCTGTTTCTTTCCCCTTGGTTCTCTCTCTTGTCTCTTCTCTTCTGTCTTCTCCTTTTGTCTCTTCTTCTTCTCTCTGTCTCTCTCGTCTTCTCTCTCTTTTCCTCTGCCCTCTGTCTCTCTCTCTTCTTCTCTTTCTTTTCCCCTTTTTAAACTAATTGTCAATTTAAGGGCTTTATTGGCATGGGAAATTTGGTTAACATTGCAAAGCAAGGGGAAGGTAGATAGTAAACAAAAGTAAAATAAACAATAAAATATTAACAGTAAACATTACACTCAGAAGTTTCAAAAGAAAAAAGGGACTTTTCAAATGTCATTTTTATGTATAAAACAGTGTGTAACAATGTGCAAATAGTTAAAGTACAAATGGGAAAATAAATAAACATAAATATGGGTTGTATTTACAATGGTGTTTGTTCTTCACTGGTTGCCCTTTTCTTGTGGCAACAGGTCACAAAATCTTGCAGCTGTGATGGCACAACTGTGGTTTTTCACCCAGTAGATAAGGGAGTTTATCAAAATTGGGTTTGTTTTCGAATTCTTTGTGGATCGCTGTAATCTGAGGGAAATATGTGTCTCTAATATGGTCATACATTTGGCAGGAGGTTAGGGCTCAGTTTCCACCTCATTTTGTGGGCAGTGTGCACATAGCCTGTCTTCTCTTGAGAGCCAGGTCTGCCTACGGCGGCCTTTCTCAATAGCAAGGCTATGCTCACTGAGTCTGTACATAGTCAAAGCTTTCCTTAAGTTTCTCTCTCTCTCTCTCTCTCTGTCTCTCTCTGTCTCTCTCTCTCTATGTCTCTCTCTCTCTCTCTCTCTGTCTCTGTCTCTGTCTCTCTCTCTCTCTCTCACTGTCTCTCTCTCTGTCTCTCTCTCTCTCGCTGTCTCTCTGTCTCTGTCTCTCTCTGTGCTCTCTCTGTCTCTCTGTCTCTGTCTGTCTCTCTCTCTCTCTCTCTCTCTCTGTCTCTGTCTCTGTCTCTGTCTCTGTCTCTCTGTCTCTCTGTCTCTCGCTGTCTCTCGCTGTCTCTCGCTGTCTCTCTCTGTCTCTCTCTGTCTCTCTCTCTGTCTGTCTCTCTCTCTCTCTCTCTCTCTCTCTCTCTCTCTCTCTCTCTCTCTCTCTCTGTCTGTCTCTCTGTCTCTCTCTCTCTCTCTCTCTTTCTCACACACACTCTTCTCTGTCTCGGACAGCTATTCATTTTTCCCTCCCCTAATTCACCCTGATTAGTCATAAGCCCACTGTGCATGGCCCGCCAGCCTCAGATCCCGGAGATGTGTTTGTGTGTGTGTTGTCTGGGATGGCTGGTGATGTGGCTGTGATAGACTGGGACAGGGGTCCCCACAGGGACTTCCATCTCCTTCAGGCTAAGGTACCTATGCCCCTTCTCTCTACCTGCTGCGCTCTACCGCATGGTGTGAGTCTGTGTCCTCATACTTCATAGCTAATGTTTTTCTTGTTTCCTCCCCTTTCCCCTTCTCCCTGATGGGTAGATTGATTGGGGAAAGCTCTGCTCATTAGTGGAGATATCTCCCCATCTCTCTCCTCAGTCACAGAGATGGAGGGGGAGAGAGAGAGGGAGGGATATCATTTGAGCTGTCAGTGGATGAGGGGTGTGAGTTTGTGGAGTGATAATTAGGAGGCAGATGCGTCCCTGTGGGCAGGAACAACTCTCCCATGTAGTTGCAGACAGGAGACAGGGAGTTGGAGGGGAGGAGGGATGGGGTGGTGAGAGGGGAGGTGGAGGGATGGGGAGGTGGAGGGATGGGGAGGAGGAGGAGGGGAGGTGGAGGGATGGGGAGGAGGTGGAGGGGAGGGTGGAGGGATGGGGAGGAGGTGGAGGGATGGAGGGGAGGTGGAGGGATGGGAGGAGGTGGAGGGGAGGTGGAGGGATGGGGAGCGAGGTGGAGGGGGAGGTGGAGGGATGAGGAGGAGGAGGGAGGTGGAGGATGGGGGAGGAGGTGGAGGGATGGGGAGAAGGTGGAGGAGGAGGAGGGAGGTGGAGGGATGGGGAGGAGGTGGAGGGATGGGGAGAAGGTGGAGGTGGAGGGATGGGGAGGAGGTGGAGGGGAGGTGGAGGGATGGGGAGGAGGTGGAGGGGAGGTGGAGGGATGGGGAGGAGGTGGAGGGATGGGGAGGAGGTGGAGGGATGGGGAGGAGGTGGAGGGGAGGTGGAGGGATGGGGAGGAGGTGGAGGGGAGGTGGAGGGATGGGGAGGAGGTGGAGGGATGGGGAGGAGGTGGAGGAGGGGAGTTGGTAGAAATGTGATATATTTTTTTTATTCCGATGACTTTTCATTACCCATCAGTCTCCCTCCCTCTATCGCCTCTTTCCATTAATGTTTCACCTGAGCCAGAATGGACTCTATATCACTTCCTCACCTCCCCTCCCCTCTCTGCTCTGGGTTTCAGAATGCCAGTGACCAGAAGACTGAGATGGAGAAAATCAAAGGGAGAATTGCTCAGGAGGTGTCTAAGTGTGAAGAGAGGAAGGGGAAAATAGACGACGAGCTGAGAGAAGTGCAGGTGAAAACATATCCATACAGCACCCAACACATGTCCCCACATTCACATCTCTGAATGATCTGTTGTTTTAGCTGTTGTTTTACCTCTGTTGTTTTAGCTGTTGTTTCAGCTGTTGTTTTAGCTGTTGTTTTAGCTGTTGTTTCAGCTGTTGTTTTAGCTGTTGTTTTACCTGTTGTTTTAGCTGTTGTTTTACCTGTTGTTTTACCTCTGTTGTTTCAGCTGTTGTTTCAGCTGTTGTTTTAGCTATTGTTTCAGCTGTTGTTTCACCTGTCGTTTTAGCTGTCATTTTAGTGGTTGTTTTAGCGGTTGCTTCAGCTGTTGTTTTACCTGTTGTTTTAGCTGTTGTTTTACCTCTGTTATTTTAGCTGTTGTTTCTGTTTTACCTCTGTTGTTTCAGCGGTTGTTTCACCTGTTGTTTCAGCTGTTGTTTTAGCTGTTGTTTTAGCTATTGTTTCAGCTGTTGTTTCACCTGTCGTTTTAGCTGTCATTTTAGTGGTTGTTTTAGCGGTTGCTTCAGCTGTTGTTTTAGCTGTTGTTTTACCTCTGTTATTTTAGCTGTTGTTTCTGTTTTACCTCTGTTGTTTCAGCGGTTGTTTCACCTGTTGTTTTCAGCTGTTGTTTTACCTGTTGTTTTAGCTGTTGTTTTACCTGTTGTTTTAGCGGTTGTTTTAGCTGTTGCTTTACCTCTGTTATTTTAGCTGTTGTTTCTGTTTTACCTCTGTTGTTTCAGCGGTTGTTTCACCTGTTGTTTTACCTGTTGTTTTAGAGGTTGTTTTAGCTGTTGTTTTACCTCTGTTGTTTTAGCTGTTGTTTCTGTTTTACCTCTGTTGTTTTAGCTGTTGTTTCTGTTTTACCTCTGTTGTTTCAGCTGTTGTTTTAGCTATTGTTTCAGCTATTGTTTCAGCTGTTGTTTTACCTGTTGTTTCAGCTGTTGTTTTACCTGTTGTTTCAGCTATTGTTTCACCTGTTGTTTTAGCTGTTGTTTTAGCTGTTGTTTTACCTGTTGTTTCAGCTATTGTTTCACCTGTTGTTTTAGCTGTTGTTTTAGCTGTTGTTTTACCTGTTGTTTTAGCTGTTGTTTTAGCTGTGTTTTAGCTGTTGTTTTACCTGTTGTTTTAGCTGTTGTTTTAGCTCTGTTATTTTAGCTGTTGTTTCTGTTTTACCTCTGTTGTTTCAGCGGTTGTTTCACCTGTTGTTTTAGCGGTTGTTTTAGCTGTTGTTTTACCTGTTGTTTTAGCTGTTGTTTTACCTCTGTTATTTTAGCTGTTGTTTCTGTTTTACCTCTGTTGTTTCACCTGTTGTTTTAGCTGTTGTTTTACCTGTTGTTTTACCTGTTGTTTCAGCGGTTGTTTTAGCTGTTGCTTTAGCTGTTGCTTTAGCTGTTGTTTTGGAGGATACTGGATACACAAACACAAACAAACACAGGGCTTGTCTGTAGGGCGACAGCATAGCTGGCCTACAATTAACCTGGATAAGGCAGAGCGTGCTGTAGAGAACATCAAATCACAGACACATACGCCTGACCTTTGTTTAACCTGTGTGTGTGTGTGTGTGTGTGTGTGTGTGTGTAGCCCCTGGTGGATGAGGCTAAGCGAGCTGTGGGGAACATCAAGCCAGAGTCTCTATCAGAGATCCGCTCCCTGAGGATGCCTCCTGATGTTATCAGAGACATCCTGGAGGGGGTGCTGCGACTCATGGGCATCTTCGACACCTCCTGGGTCAGCATGAAGAGGTGAGAGAGGGGGAGGGAGGGAGGGAGGAGGAGAGAGAGAGGGAAGGAGGGGGGGAGAGAGGGAAGGAGGGAGGGAGGGGAAGGGATAGAAGGAGGAAAGGAGAGGGAGGGAGTGAACTAGAGATTTAGGGAAAGAGAGAGGTTTAGTGTGCGAGATCCATGGAGATGGAACTATAAGAGGAATACAGAGAGAGATAGAGGGTGATGTAGGGCCCAGAGGTTGACACAGGAGCAGGACTCATGCGGGTCTTGTGGGTCCCGCGGGATTCTGGCAGGAATGGGAGTGAAGCTCTAGAGTCAAGTTCGAGACAGGATGGGACTGAATCAACAATCCACAGGAACGGGCAGTACAGGAATAATTATAAACTGATTTTTTTGCGCGGAAATATGTCATGTGTGGAGTATTTCATCCCCCCCAAAATCTGTGTAGGTTAGGCCTAATATAGTTGCCTTAATAAAAATACATTTAAAAAAGGGTAATTTCCCCCCTCCCCCTTCTGTCGGCTCATTCTCGCGCCTCGACCCAGTTGTAGCCTGTCACTAGGCTACCTCAGATGCCAACCTACGTTGGTAGGCTAAATGATGAGGAATTGCAACATCTTGTTGCAGCCAAGGACCCATCACTAATATTAACATTAGAGCCAAGGAAAGAGCGATGTTTTAGCTAAATGTGATGGAGTTGCCTTTGACATTGAAGGAACCCAGTACACAGCTTGTAAAAAATGCTGCGGTTTAATCAAATAGGCTACCAACTGAAGTGCGGGACAAACGGCCTGTGGCATAGCTGCTCTACTCACAACAACTTTACCGTCAAGCTCAATTGTTTGCGTATATAACTAAACGTGTGCATCTCAGGTGAAGAGTGAAATAAAGATGGGATGATGTATGCAGTAATGCCGCTCAGGTTCTCTTTATGTTAATGTGTTGTAAATGTTTCTACGTGGCAGGGCTCAGCTGTAGGCTACAGTTCTATACCTGTACTGTCTGTCCTCATCCAGCTTTAATCAATCTACATTTAGGTCGTTCTGAATACGCTCTTATCCAGAGATACTTAGGCCTACAGTCAGTGCATTTAACTAAGGTAGGTAAGACAACCACATATCACAGTCGCATATTGCATTACTCCACAAAAAGTTCTACAGCTGCACCATCGAGAGCATCCTGACTGGTTGCGTCACCGCCTGGTATGGCAACTGCTCGGCCTCCGACCGCAAGGCACTACAGAGGGTAGTGTGTAGGGCCCAGTACATCACTGGGGCCAAGCTTCCTGCCATCCAGGACCTCTATACCAGGCAGTGTCAGATGAAGGCCCTAAAAATTGTCAAAGACTCCAGCCACCCTAGTCATAGACTGTTCTCTCTGCTACCGCACAGCAAGTCTAGGTCCAAAAGGCTTCTTAACAGCTTTTACCCCCAAGCCATAAGACTCCTGAACAGCTAATCAAATGGCTACCCGGACTATTTGCAAATGGCTACCCTCTGTTTTACGCTGCTGCTACTCTCTGTTTATTATCTATGCATAGTCACTTTAACTCTACCTATTTTTTACTTATCAATTTTTTTACTTAACACTTATTTTTCTTAAAACTGCATTGTTGGTAAAGGGCTTGTAAGTAAGTAAGCATTACCTGTTGTATTCGGTGCAAGTGACAAATACAATTTGATTCGATTTGAAAAATATTTTAAATATTTCCTAAACAAACACAATAGCCTACATATTTCTGCGCACAAAAATGAGCACAGGACAGGAGTGATTGTTATCGGGAAGGGACAGGACGGGAGTGATTGTTATCGGGAAGGGACAGGACGGGAGTGATTGTTATCGGGAAGGGACAGGACGGGAGTGATTGTTATCGGGAAGGGACAGGACGGGAGTGATTGTTATCGGGAAGGGACAGGAAAGTTCCGGGGTTATAGCTCTGTTGCAGGATCAGGACAGTACAGGAAATTAACTGACAAGACGGGACAGAAATTATTTTTAATTCCTGTACTAGGGCCAGAGCTGTCAGTGTGTGTGTGTGCGTCCGTAGTGTATTCTGTCAGTATGTGTGTCCGTAGTGTATTCTGTCAGTGTGTGTGTGTCCGTAGTGTATTCTGTCAGTGTGTGTGTCCGTACTGTATTCTGTCAGTATGTGTGTGTGTCCGTAGTGTATTCTGTCAGTGTGTGTGTGTGTCCGTAGTGTATTCTGTCAGTGTGTGTGTGTGTCCGTAGTGTATTCTGTCAGTGTGTGTGTGTGTCCGTAGTGTATTCTGTCAGAGTGTTGTGTGTGTCCGTAGTGTATTCTGTCAGTGTGTGTGTGTGTGTGTCCGTAGTGTATTCTGTCAGTGTGTGTGTGTGTCCGTAGTGTATTCTGTCAGGTGTGTGTGTGTGTCCGTAGTGTATTCTGTCAGTGTGTGTGTCCGTAGGGTATTCTGTCAGTGTGTGGTTGTGGTCCGTTAGTGTATTCTGTCAGTGTGTGTGTGTTGTCCGTAGTGTATTCTGTCAGTGTGTGTGGTGTCCGTAGTGTATTCTGTCAGTTGTGTGTGTCGTAGGGTATTCTGTCAGTGTGTGTGTGTGTCCGTAGTGTATTCTGTCAGTGTGTGTGTCCGTAGTGTATTCTGTCAGTGTGTGTGTCCGTAGTGTATTCTGTCAGTGGTGTGTCCGTAGTGTATTCTGTCAGTATGTGTCCATCCGTAGTGTATTCTGTTTAATGGCTTGTTGTAGTCATTAGTAACACTCATTAGTCTGCGAGCCATTCTAGAGGAAGTGTCTGAGAACCTAATCTGCCGTTGATGATTGTGTTAATTGAGTGAGTGCAGCCGCTCTGAGCAGTGTTAGGAAGTGTGTGTGATACAGAGTGTGTTAGGATGTATATGAGTAACAAACTGGGTGATTTGTCACTGTTAGCTCTTAATTAGTTAGAAGTTTTACTTCAATAACTTCAGGCTTGAATTAGCATTAGCTGCCTCATTATCAGATTTAAAGCTTGTGCGTCTCTGTCTCTCTGTCTCTGTCTCTGTCTCTCTTTCTCTCTAGTTTCCTGGCTAAGAGGGGGGTGAGAGAGGACATAGCCACATTTGAGGCGAGGAACATCAGTCATGAGATTCGTCAGAGTGTGGAGGAGCTACTGACCAGAAACAAGGCCTCGTTCGACCCCAAGGTGATCCAGTTAGCCTAGCCAGTTAGCCTAGCCAGTTAGCCTAGCCAGTTAGCCTAGCCAGTTAGCCTAGCCAGTTAGCCTAGCGCTACAGTTCAAGGTGGAAGTTGTACGTGATCACAGATCTAGGATCAGATTATCCTACTCTTAACTATTAGTGGGGGGATTTGTTTTGACCCTGTTTCAGTGGTTAGTGCCACATTCTACCTTCTCCCTTAGGGGAGAACAACTAACACTGATGTAAATGATGTGATGTACAACTACTGCAACTACTATTAACCTAGAGCTACAGGCAGCAACCTATGTACCTTTATAGAAGCGGTTAGCTAATAGCAGTCAAGTTGAAGAGATCATTTGAACCTCCTAAGATAAGCCTCCTTGCTCTCACTCCAGGTTGTGTTGTTGTTGTTGTTGTTGTTGTCAGAATGCTAAGCGTGCAAGTGCTGCGGCTGCTCCACTGGCAGCCTGGGTGAAGGCCAACGTACAGTACTCACACGTCATGGAGAGGATACAGCCACTGGAGAAAGAACAGGCTGGACTACTGGAGTGAGTCTATACACACATACGCACTTGTGCATGCACACACGCCTAATCCTCAAGCATAATTTGATGTGTGTTACTTGTTTGTGTGTGTGTGGTGTGTGTGTGTTTTTGTGTGTGTGTGTGTGTGTGTGTAGGAACTTGAGGAAGACAGAGAGTCGAAAGACTAAACTGGAGGAGCAGCTCAACTCTGTGGGGCAGAAAGTCAATGAGCTGAAAGAGAAGTAAGAATATTTGTTGCATCCCTCCATCCCTTGACAGCCTCTTTCTCTTCTACTGTCTCACTGATTAACTCTGCTCTATTGGAGAGACAAGTTACAGGAATACTGGTCTTGCCCTTATTCCCCCCCCCCCTCTCTCTCTCTCTCTCTCTCTCTCTCTCTCATCGCGATGCTTCACCTCGAGCTCCCTGCTCGCGTTCTCGCGCCCCGCTGTCTCTCTCTCTCTCTCTCTCGACCTCTATCTGGGGGGGGCGAGAGACGGCCCTGCACAATCGGGGCATCTACACAGAAGCTATACTAGATTTTAGCAGAAATAGCTTCTATCTCTTCTCCCTCTCACTCTACTGCTACTACCTCGACTAATCTATACTCGTATCTCTTTTCTCTCTCTCGCTCTCTCTCTCTCTATATCGTATCTCTCTCTCTCTCTCCCCCTCTCTCTCTCTCCCTCCATCTCTCTCTCTCATTAGGTTCCAGTCTCGTACTACAGAGGCAGCTAAGCTGGAGGCGGAGGTCAGTAAGGCCCAGGAGACCATCCAGGCAGCAGAGCAACTCATACACCAACTGGACGGAGAACACACACGCTGGAATGCCCAGGTGTTTGTGTGTGTGTGTTTGTGTAGAGGGGGGATGTATCCTGCTGTCTCGGTCCCTCCTGGCTGTTTTTACTCCTCTCTCTCCAGCATCTGTCTGCTCCTTAATTAAAGCACTCGATCTCCCACTGTCTCCCTCAGAGACACACGCACACATTGTCCCGCTTGGAGCCCTCACCAGCGACTGCTTTACCTGCTACTCACGTGCATACACATACTCACCTCTCCACACTCCCACAGTCAGTGTATGAACTCTGATGGCAGTGGTCTGTTCCTATTGCCCACCGAATGTTCTGGGGCTGGTTTAGTCTCCACACTGCACAGATTTTCTGGCACTGAGCCATGGGCCGGGTCTGTTCACACTCTCTTCCTGTGGCAGTTCTACCTGAGCTGCTCTTTAGGTAATAACAACTATGTCAGCTCACCTTAAATGGCCTGCAACTGAGTTTAGTGTGTGTGTGTGTCAGGTGGCTGAGATCACTGAGGATTTGGAGACGTTGCCTAAGAGAGCGATGCTGGCAGCAGCCTTCATCACATACCTGTCTTCTGCTCCAGAGGACAGGAGACGAAACAGCTTGGAGACATGGATGAAGGCATCTGGACTACAGAGTGAGACACACACAGTCATACACAGTCACACACACACACACACACACACACACACACACACACACACACACACACACACACGCAACCTTTGTCTTCTCTCTCCTCCTTTGACTGGTGTGACTGTTTTGTGTGGTGGTGGTTTGTGTGGTGGTGTGTTTGGGGGGGGTGTGGGGATGGGTGTGTTTGGGGGGGTAAAAACCCCCTTTTTCCCATTTTGTTTTTTTCTCCTTTCCCCTTTTTTTTTCTCTTTAAACCCCTTTTTTTTTTCCTTAATTGGCCTTTTTCCCAAAACAAAGGCACTGCCGGGGGGGGAAACCCGGGAAACCTAGGCACAGGAAACCCTCCAAACAAAAAAACCCCCAGATGGAACCCCAGGGGGGGGTTTTTTTTTGGGGTTTTGAAAGGGGGGGAGTTTCCCGTTTTCCCCGGGTTTTTTTTTAGTTTTCCTATTTAATTTTAAAGGGGGGGTTTAAGAAAAAAAAATTTTTGGGGCCCCCAAAAACAAAAAACCCCCCAACCCCCCACCCCCACACCCCAAAAACCCCAAAACTTTTTTGGGGGTTTTTGGGTTTTTTGGGGTTGGGGGGGGGGGGGGGGGGGGGGGGGGGGGGGGGTTTTTTGGGGGGGTTTGGGTTTTTTGGGGGGTTTTGGTTTTTGGGAAAAAAAAAAAAAACACAAAAAAAAAAAAAAAAAAAAAAAAAAAACCCAACACCCCCCAAAAAACAAAACAACAGGGGGGTTTGGAAAAACAAGGGGAGCCCCAAAAGCCACAGAAAAAAAAAACCCAAACCACAAAAAAACCCAAAAAAAATTTTTTTCCCCCCTTCTCTTTCTTTTGTTTGGGGGGGGGTTTTTTTGGGGGTTGGTGGGGGGTTGGGTAAAGGGGGGCTTTTTTTTTTCCCCAAAAAAAAAAAAAAAAGGGGAACCGTTGGAAAAATGAAGGTGTGAGGGTTTTGGGGGGGTTTTTGGGGGGTTTTTTTTTTTTTTCCCCTTTTTCTTTTTGCTTGTTTGTTGGTTTGCTCGTTTTTCTTCTACCTCCTTTAACCCCTCCCCCTTTTCCCCCCCCCCTTTGTTTACCCCCCTTTTTTTTCTCTCTTTCTGTCCTCCTCTCTCTTCTTTTTTTTTTCTCTTCCCCCCCCCTTTCTCGTCTCTCTTCTCTCTTCTCTTTTTTTCTTTGTCTCTTTTTTGTCTCTCTGTTTTGTTCTGTCTTGTCTTCTTTTTCCCTCTCTCCTCTCTCCCCCTTTTTTTTTCCCTCTTTCTTTTTCTCCCCCTTTTTTCCTCTCCCGTCGCTCACGCTCTTTTTTTTCCCTCCCCTTTTCGTCTTCTGAGGATTTTGGGGGAAATGGGCAGATTGAAAGCATGGGAAGGTTTTTATTGGTGTGTGTAGCCTCGTTCCTCTACTGTGTTTTTTTTGTTGTGACTTCTCATTTTGGGGTGAATTCCCTCCCTGACGGAGAGGGGTTTAATGGGACCCAGTTTTTTTCCCCTTTTTTCATTTTTTGTTTCAAACCCCCCGGTTTTCCCGGGGCCCGATTAAGATAGGAATAAGTCAGGGGGAAGAACTCACCCTCCACCACGTATCTCCACCACAGCAGGCGTTTGCAAAAACACACACACACACCAAACACACCAAACACAAACACCCCCACAAACCCCAACACCACCACACCACACACAACACACACACACACACAAAAACAGAAAACGCCCTCCCCCTAGCAATACACAAACCTTTACTCAGTAGTCCTATTCTAAACGAACCATGCAGGGCGTGGCAACAGAAAAGGTACCATTTATGTATAGGAGTTTGTCATTTTGTTGTTCACTATTTAAATTCCACCTGAGTTCTTCAAATAATTGATTGTTGTCCAGACTTGTATAATGGTTATCTCTCTAATCAACTTAACCAGTTTGTTTTTGCATGATGCCTCTTGAGGCACTTTTCTGCAAAAGTAGCTTTTTCCTTTGATTTGGCTATTTTGTGATAATCCTGATTTTGTCCAATAGGGCTTAGTGTGCATGTGTGTGTGTGTGGCTTCACCGGCCTTGTCATTCTTCTGATGAGTGGCCTTTGCTTTGCGGAGAGAATACACTCTAAAAGACAAGTGTAATCGGGGCTCTTTCGCCTCACACAGTCTCTGGAGCAATCTGTGGCTGTGGTGTGTAGAGATCAACCTGTTAACGTCTGTCTTTCCCAACCTGATGCAGGAAACAGTTGCATAACCAAGAACCACCAGCCTGTAGAACACGTTAATAACTGTTTCTAAATGGGTCCCATTTCTACTGTTCCCCTACTGCAAGTCACAATAGTTCTTTCAGTAAGAGACCCACATTGCCATTTACCCCCCCCCCCCCCCCACCCCCCCACCCCATTCCCCCCAACAAACACAAACCACCCCCCCCAACAAAACCCCCCAACCCACCCCACCCCACAACCCCTCAACCAACTCTCCTAACACCCCAAAAACTAAAACAACCATAAAAAAATTATTCAAATATTAAAAAAAAAACCCCCAAAAAAAACCATCCATAAAATAACCAAAAAAACACCCACCCAACCCAAAAACCATTCATCACCAAAAATATAACCTATAAAAAATTTACCACCAATACAAGCAACCAAGACAAAAAATTAAAAACCAAGGATAAAAAAAGAACCAAATCAAATACAATTAAACCCAATAATAACCTAAAATAAACCTGCAAAAGTCAAATACCGTAATTACCAAATACGACAATTGAATTACCAAAACCGCAACTCTACTTTTTTAACCTAACTTAGACAACACTAACGTCAACATACTAAGATCTGTTATTGTCCAACTCTTTTATCCGCATTTGTCCGTCTATTAGCACCCCCCAAACAAAATCATTAACTCTCCACTCTCTACTCCCACTCTAGACTCTTAAAGGGGGGTTTGAGCCAAAAATGGGGGAGAGAAGAGAACACACAAGCCTGGAATGCCAGTGTTTGTGTGTGTTGTGTTGTGTTAGAGGGGGATGTATCAGGCTGTCCGGTCCCTCTGGCTTGTTTTTACTCCTCTCTCTCCGCATCTGTTAGCTCCTAATTAAAGCACTCAATCTCCCACTGTCTCCCTAAGAGACACACGCACACATTGTCCCGCTTGGAGCCCTCAACAGCGACTGCTTTACCTGCTACTCACGTGCATACACATACTCACCCTACTCACACTCCCACAGTCACGTGTATGAAATCTGATGGCATGGTCTGTTGCAATATTGCCCCCGAATGTTCTGGGCTGGTTTAGTTCCACACTGCACAGATTTTGGCACTGAGACATGGGCCGGTCTGTTCACACTCTCTTCCTGTGGCAGTTCTACCTGAAGTGCTTCTTTAGGTAATAACAAACCTAAGTCGGGCTCTCACCTTAAATGGCCTCTGCAACTGAGTTTAGTTGTGGGTGTGCAGGTGGCTGAGATCAGGAGGGATGGAGAACGTTGCCTAACGAGAGCGTATGCTGGCAGCAGCAGCCGTCATTACATACCCTTGTCTTATGCCTCCAGGGACGGAGACGAACACAGTTGGAGGTGAATGGATGAAGCATCTGGAACTACGGAGTGGGCCACAAACAGGTCAGACACAGTCACACAACACACACACACCCACACACACACACACACACTACACAACACACACACAAACACACAACACAAAACCAAAAGGGGGAGAGCGCGAGAGACAGAGAGGTTGATGGGTGGGTATGTGTCGGTGTTTAGTGGTGGACTGTGTGTGTGGTGTGTGTGTGTGTGTGTGTGTTGTGAGACTGTTGGTGTCTGTTGTGTGTGACTGGGGGTGTGTCTCGAGTTTGACATGCGGCACGTCCTGTGCTCATGAGAGTGAGCAGCGGATCTGGAAAGTTGAAGCACTGCCCTCAGATGACCGGTCTATGGAGAACGCCCTGGTTATACTGCAGGTTAGATACTATCTGTCGATACTTCTATCTCTCTTCGGTCATCATCTATCGATCTATCTCTATATCATCTATCTCATCGATCTCATCTCTCGATCTCTCGTCTCTCTACTATCTCTCACCAATTATAGTAATTCGTTCTCTTTCTCTCTCTCTCACTCTTTCTCCTCTCTCTCCGCGCTGCACTCCTTTTCTTCTGATTTCACTATCTCTATTCTGTCTTACTGAGAGATTGGAAGTGGTGCAGATTAGAAGCCTAGGGAAGGCGTATATTGTGTGTGAGCCCTCTGTGTTCCTCACTGGTTTCCATGTTGTGATCGTCTCAGGTGGAGCGAATTCTCCCTCTGACTAGGGAGTCGGTGTTTACATTACGGGTCACATCCATGTTTACTTCTTTCATTTTATTGTCGTTCTACCTCTCTCCGTGTCTTTCCTCTGCATCCTGCCATTAGATCAGTGCAATCAAGTCCGGGTAAGAACTCACCCCTACATCCATCTATAATTCCAACCCTACAGCAGGCTGCTTGCGAAAACACCATACACCACACACACACAACACACACACACCACACACACACCACACACAGACAGACAGACAGACACACACAGACAGACAGACAGACAGACAGACCAGACCACACAGACAGACACACACAGACAGACAGGACAGACGGACAGACGGACGGACGGACGGACGCACGCACTCCCACATAGCAACTACACAAACCCTTTACTTGCATTAGTCCTCTATTCTAAAACGAACCACTGCAGGGGCGTAGCAACAGAAAAGGTTACAATTTATTTATAGGAGTTTGTCATTTTGTTTGTTCATATTTTCACATTCCACTGAGTCTTCTTCAAATAATTGATTTGTTGTCCCAGACTTTATAATGGTTATCTCTCTAATCAACTTAACCCGTTTGTTTTTGCATGATGCCTCTTGAGGCACTTTTCTGCCAAAAGTAGCTTTTCCTTTTGATTTGGCTATTTTGTTGATAATCCTGATTTTGTCCAATAGGGTTTAGTGTGCATGTGTGTGTGTGTGGCTTCACCCGGCCTTGTCATTCTTCTGAATGAGTGGCCTTTGCTTTGCGGAGAGAATTACACTCTAAAAGACAAGTGTAATCGGGGCTCTTTCGCCTCACACAGTCTCTGGAGCAATCTGTGGCTGTGGTGTGTAAGAGATCAACCTGTTAACGTCTGTCTTTCCCACCTGATGCAGGAAACAGTTGCATAACCAAGAACCACACAGCCTGTAGAAACACGTAATAACTGTTTCTAAATGGGCACCATTATACTGTTACCCTACATGCAAGTCAATACATAGTTATTTCATAGAGACCACTATGCCATGTTTTACCACCACACCCAACCCCACCACCAAACCCCACCACCATCAGTCGAACTCCGACACACCCTCAACCTTCACTCTCCCTTCTACAACCCGTCAACCGTCACTCCCCAACTACACCCTCAACGCCACTCTCGTCAAGATGCTTCCAACTCCTATTCTCACTCCCGTCTTTTAATCCTCTCTTCTTCCCGTCTTCCTCTGCCCCCCCCCCCACAACCAAACACCACCCCACCACCCCAAACAAAAAAAACAAACACACCAAACACAAAAAAAAACAAAAAACAAACCCCCCCCAACACACAACACCCCCCAACCCAACCCCCTCCCTCCCCTATCAACTGGTATCCCCTATCTCCCCCCCTCCATCCAGGCCTCATGGTAAAGAGGGCTGTCTTGTCAGTCCAGCCAATGGAGGAGGTGTTGATGAGAGCTTATTTTAGCCCTTTTATAAAAGACCCAAATTCTGCCTTCACATCACAGCAACACGGAACCCCCATACTGTTTAGGAAACAGCCATCAGCTTGGATTGGAGAGAATGTCACAATGATTTCATTAATACACTCTCGCCTGGGCCTGGCTATGCTAGCAGTTGAAGTGGTCTCTGTGAATACTCTGTCAAAAATAGGGTTGCCAAAGCTACCGGTTAATTTACCAAGTTACCGGAATCGTCAGTAGGATTAGGTAATCTAACAGAAAATCTATGGCATCTATCGTACTTTGGTAATTTTACTTGAGAAAAACAAAAAAAGAAAGTCATACAATCGCTTAATGTATCTGTGTCCATATTGTCTATGAGTTGGTCTAGGGAGAGACCATATGGTTCAAGAGGAGAAGAAAACAGCCTAATTAATGAATAAAAAATCTAATCAACAATAGATTATTTTCAATACTCTGCAACTCTTCCAACTTTTGACTTTTTTTCAGAACGCCACCAGGGTGACCCAAAACATGACAAACAAATGCATGCATCTTTAGTGTGAAAGTCTACTTGACATGTATTCACATTTTGTTGCCTAAACTAAATAATTAAAAAAGATAAATTAGATTTATTTCCTACCCGGTAAAAATACACCCTACTCCCACATTTCAAAGTGAATTTTTGTAAAAATGCATCAAAATGTCCACACACATTAGCTCAGTCTCAGTGCCTGACATAATCTGCATGAAGAAAATCGACGACGATTTTAATATTGCTGTCCATCAATGAATCCCACAAATTTACTGAGCTTGAGCAATTTGACAAACACATTGGAGAAATGTTGCCCTAGAGTGTGTTTTTTTAAAGTTGTAGAATCTTATTTTAAAAAGGATTGACAGCTGTAAGTCGCAAAGGGGTACGTATCCACTAAGTATAAACCCTGGGGGTAAAGACATTACGCAATTAAAGGACATCTTCGTAAAAAAAAATTTGGGGGGAAACCTTTCTATAATTTTTCTTCACTATGAAAAGTGGATAGGTTATAGGATAAAGTAGGATAAAAACAAAACAAATGTATGCCCTTTGAGATATTTTATTTAAGGGCAACACATGGCAAGGGTTGTAGACTCCACCTACTCCACTTACTCACTATACTGACAAAAAAAGATTTAATTGCTAAACCCGCATATTAAACACCAGTTGTATATTCACTAAGTTTGATTGGTGTATATTTAGGTTAAACTTTTACAGCTTGTCATTCTATTCATCGATAGTATTTTCATATATTTAATGTGATTAAAGCCGCCACAGAGGGACAGGAGGACTATTACCAGAAAAGCTGTGATCATCTGAAGTACCCCGAAGGGCCACTGGCTTCTTGTTGTGATTAGATGACCATAAAATATTTAGAAGATACCAAAAAATTGGGTAATTTATGAAACTCTCTATGTAGGTCTGATAGAGCGTGTATAGGATGCCATCACAGCAGATATGTCAGATGTTGATTTTCAGCCCTGGGAGATGTAAATAAGGCATTGCAGTTTTACAAACTTCAATCACACACGTATAAGCATATATGACTCTACATAGAGATAGAGGGAGAGGGAACGGAGAAAGGATGAAAGAACAATATAGAGGATCATTAAAGAAGAGGGATGGGAAGATGAACCAAAAGGGACATGGTTTTGTAGAGAGATGGAAAAGAGAAAAGGCTAAGCCAGGCGGGGAATAAATAGAGGGGATTTAAAAGAGAGATTTCATCCCTTTGTCTTGGTGTCTGGTGCCCTGAATCCAGACAGCCAATAACTCGCTGGCAAGTCACTTTTTGTTTTGTGACAGTGTGCGGAGAGGACTGTAATGGGCCTCAAAGATTCTTCCCCAGAGAGAAACAAAAATTCTGCCATCTATCTTAATACATACCGGTCAAAAGTTTAGAACACTACTTCATGAAGGGGTTTTTCTTTATTTTACTATTTCGAATTGTGAGAATATAGTGAAGACATCCCCAAACGTAGAAACAACAAATAGGGAATATGTAGTAACCAAAAAAAGTTTAAAAAATCCTAAATTATTTTTATATTTGAGATTCTTCAATAGCCACCCTTGCCTTGATGACAGCTGTGCATACCTTGGCAATTCTATCAACCAGCTTCACCGGAATGCAATTCCAAGCAGTCTGAAGGACGTTCCCAATATTTGCTGAGCACTTGTTGGCTGCTTTTCCTTCACTCTGCGGTTCAGATCATCCCAAACCATCTCAATTGGGTTGACGGTCGGGGGATGTGGAGGCCAGGTTCATCTGATGCAGTACTACATCACTCTCCATTCTTGGGAAAATAGCCCTTACACAGCCTGGAGGTGTGGGTTGGGTCATTGATCATGTTGAAAAACAAATTGATAGTCCCACTTAAGCCCAAACCATATGGGATGGTGTTATCGTGAAGATGTGTGGTAGCCATGCTGAGTTAGTGTTGCATGAATTCTAAATAAAATCACAGACAGTGTCACCAGCAAAGCACCCCCACCCATAACACTCCTGCCTCCATGCTTTACAGTGGGAAATACACATGCGGAAATCATCCGTTCACCACAACACGACTCACAAAGACACAGCAGTGGAAACCAAATGCAAATAGTCCAGGTAGTCATTTGATTAGCTGTCAGGAGTCTTATGGGGGGGGGGTTAGAGCTGTTTAAGAAGCCTTTTGGAACCTAGAATTGGTGCTCCGGTACCGCTTGCCATGCGGTTAGCAGAGAGAAAGTTATTGACTAGGGTGGCTGGAGTATTTGACCATTTTTAGGGCCTAACCTCTTGACCCGCATGGTATAGAGGTCCTGATGCAGGAAGCTTGGCCCAGTAATGACGGGTATTGGTGTCATTTATGTAGTGGTTTCTTTGCAAGCAATTCACATGAAGGCCTGACTCTGATTCAACAGTCTCCTCTCTTGAAACATTGATGTGTCTGTTACTTGAACTCGTATGCAAGCATTTATTTGGGCTTGCAATTTTGAGGCTGGTAAACTCTAATGAACATATCCTCTGCAGCAGAGGTAACTCTGGGTCTCCATTTTTCCTGTTGGCGGGTTCCTAATGAGAGCAGTTTCATCCTAGCGCTTGATGGTTTTTGCAACTGCACTGAAGAAACTTTAAAAGTCTTGAAATCTCCGTATTGACTGACCTTCATGTCTTAAAGTAATGATGGATGTCGTTTCTCTTGGCTTATTTGAGCTGTTGTATTGTCATTAATATGGACTTGGTCTTTACCAAATAGGTCTATCTTCTGTATACCACACTCCTTTCACAACACAACTGGTGACGGCTCAAAGGCAGTAAGAAGAAATAAATTCCACCAAATAAAATTTTAAGAAGGCCACACATGTTAATTGAGTGAAATGTATTCAGGTGACTACCTCATGAAGCTGGTTGAGAGAAGGAATGCCAAGAGTGTGCAAAGGGTCATCAAGGCAAAGGGTGGCTATTTGAGAAGAATCTCAAATATAAAATATGTTTGATTGTTTTAACACTTTTTTGGTTACTACATGATGCAATAGTGTTTTTCATTAGTTTTGATGTATTTCACTATTATTCACAGGGTAGAAAATAGTAAAAATAAAGAAAAAACTTTTGCCGTGAACTGGGTAGGGGTGTCCAAAACGGTTGACAAGTAGTGGGTATAGAGATGGGTGGAAATAAAGGGGAAGCAGAAATAAGAACTTATGGGATTCTATCTCGGGGGGGCAGATGAGAGGGAGGGAGAGCGAGAGAGAGAGAGAGCGCGAGAGACGAGCGCGCGAGCGAGAGAGAGAGCGACGGAGAGCGAGGCGACGGGAGAGAGAGAGAGCGAGAGAAACGAAAGAGAGCGAGAAGAGAGAGAGATAGCGAGAGAGGAGAGAGCGAGAAGAGAGAGCGCGCGAGAGGAGAGGAGAGAGAGATAGATAGTA